AATTCTTGCCATGACACCATTTTCCGTTCTACTGGATAATCACAGAGACATTAGGAGATACCAGGGTACACCTGGGCTTACTTCCTTTAGCCTTTTCCAGTTCTCCACGTCATTCCTAAGTCCATTATTACTTTTCTAAATAATTGACTTCCTTGTGCAACACTGTACTACAAGTTGTGAGCCTGAAAAAAATCTCTACATTCAAAGAAAACAAAAAGCACATCACTTGAGGAGAATTCTTTTTTTCTGCAAACATTTTCAAACCCACATGTGATCAGAAATAATCTTGGATGAAAAGAACAAATAAGCAGTTCTCACAATAATTTGTTACTATTCAGTTTTCAGACAATACAGAAATATCTTCATGATTCAAAAGCAAATAAGCTAATGCAAGAAAATTAATTCTCCCATATCCCTTCAGTTGTATGTGCCAAGCTATTAATACCTCAGCATTTATCTTTCTGTGTTCTTGAACATTTTTCTGGCCCATGCCTAAGTCTCCTCAGTGCTGCAGAAATGCCATTACTTCAACAACAAAGCAACTGGAAAGGTTTCAATATTCGTGTTCTCCAAATATTCTGACTAGAGACACAACAGTGAAACAATTCTGGAATTCATAGTATTTCAAGTTGTATATGGAGTATGACACCATTTATTTTTGAGGTTAATTCAGCTCTCAAATCACTGAGTTATTGATGCCTCAGCAATGTCGAAGGTCTTTTAAAAAGCCCTTCTGTTCCAGCAAAGGCTCACAAATCAAAAGGTTGTGGCAAAGCAGCCCAGTGAGCAGCACAAAGACCAGGGAATTGGCAGACTCATGTTCTGCCCTTAGTCCCACCGTGTTTAACTTGGACCAAGCAGGATCTAGTTTGCATTAGGCTCACAGTTCTCATCCTGTATTTGAATGGGCAAACAATGCAATAAATTCATTAAGATAGGTTTGGTGTCATTTTGACTGTTCCCTTTCCTTGTTGTGCTGCCACGACTGCTCAGGGGGCGAAATGCACCACTGTGGGTGAGCACGCTAAGTCAGCAGAACTGCCTGCATCAGACACAATGAAAATATATAAAAAGACACACAATCCAGTCTGGCATATTAAAATAATAAGCCCAAACATCTTGCAACAGCACTGATCTATTGGAATGTACAAAGATCACACAGGATCAACATTGAAATAAAACAAATATATTCACCATTACAGAAATGAACATGATTGCTGCAGTTAGGAGTAAATTTTCATCATAAATCATACCACAGTAATGTTCAGCAAGCTTTAATAGCTCCTTTTCAAATTGAGATGATCTACAATCTTTGTCACTTTGAAGGTCACATGTGAATGACATCATTCCTTTTGGGGTTTTTAAGGGTTTTTAGACAACATTATAATACCCACTTGCTCTTTTTAGCATGTCCTCTGACTTTTCAGTTTTACTGCCTCTTGCACCTTCTGACAACTGACCTCTGAGCTACAGTTCTGACACAGTTACTCTCAATTTTTAAAGGTCTAATTCTCCTTGCACTAAAACTAATGAGAAAAAAGAAAATCAGCAAGAGCTGCACTAGACCACTATCATGCAATGGCATTGAGCACATTTAGATACCCAGCAAACAAACAAATAAAGCATGAAGCATATTGCAAACTCACTCTGCCTTGTTCATGGTAAGAAGCCAGACAAAGTCTGTGAGATTTGTTTTTCCTAAGGACTGCAAGGTCATGGTAGAGATCTGTATTACTTTTGAAATCAGACTGGGGGAAAATTTAGGGAGGGAAGTCAGGCAATTCACCCTTTTGGCTGGATTCTGCACTTCCCAGCAGTGATAAAGGCTGAGTAGGTAACAAGAGAGTTACCTGAGCATGTCTGGTTTGTACTTATTTACGCTGACTTATACTTCACTTCTTTCAGCCTTCAGTGTGGTGACCGATGTAGAAGGGATGAAATACACATTCTGGCCCAAAAAGCATTTTCCTGCAGTACTTCATGTGAGTTGAAATGTTTCTTTGGTTTTATTTCATTTGGTTGGGTCTGTTTGTTTTTCCATTAAATCTAAGCAAAGTATTTTCAAAATAAATTAACCTGTAACATGTTTTGTTGCAACTTAAAAAAAAAAAGTTTTTTAATCATTCCACTGCTGAACAGTATCTTATGCTCCAGAAGAAATAATATATAGGAATGACACAAAATACTTGAACAAATAGGGGATTGCTGCTTTGTCTTTAATCATTGTTTTACATGACATTAAAGATTAAGTTTCCCTGAGAGCTTCCAACAGCCTGAGTCAATTCTTCAGAAGTCATCTGCAAAGCATACTTCACAGCACCTTGATCACTAACAATGCCATTTTCTCTCCAATTAAATAAAAACTCAAGCATGGCACTTCAATACACCTTTACAGTTCTCTTGAACCTGCCCACTGAATCAATACTCAAGAACAGAAAAAGAAGTACCAGTAGAAAGTTGTCTTGGCACTCAGCATTGCCAAAGCCTTTTTGAAGAGTTATTCTTTGGCACAGTGGCTTCAAGAAGAAAATAATTATTCTTCTCTCCATTTCAGAGTGCAAAAACAACTAAGCACACTACCTGATGAGAAAAAAATAAAGGAAAACCAAAACAAGTGAGGCTGATGTTGAATTTGGATTCAGTTAGTCTGGGATCTTTCTGTCAATTTTCCCCTTTCTGACAGGAAACAAGGACTGGTAAAAAGTAAAAGCTTCATGCAGATGCTGTGAGAAGATTTCAGCAGTCCAGGATGGCAATTTTAGTTAGAAAGAAGTGTAAAATTACATCCAAGTTCAGTACTGCATTCTGTTTGATATACAGCTGAGGCTCCAGCCATTGAGTCAAGTATATCTGAATGACTGAGACTTTCTTCTGACAATTGGTTTTTCACAACAGGATGACTGAAAGTTCTATTATCAAGTCAACGACAACAGCTGAAAATCTCTAAAATGGGAGGTCATTTTTCATCACCCCTGCTCAAATATCTGTTTACTTTTCAGTTCCAATCATTCCAGTAGATCACTTTTCCCCCACCTATGACCTGATAATCTCAATCTATTCCCAAAACATACATGATACCTAAAGAAACCACAAATTCAGATCTGTGGAAACACTGTCTGGGAGCTTCATTGGGGTTTTAAAGGTTTTTTAAGTAAAACGTGAACTACAATAAGGAAAAAGTAACCTTTTCCCACAAACTAGCCAAAATCCTGATAGATAGATCCCAGTGGAATGTCACCCTGGAATGGGAGAGCTGGTTCCAGCAGATGGAGCTCCAGAAAGGCAATGAGAAGCAGCACCAAGAGCTCCAGCAGCTTCAGTAACACAGACTTTCAGGACAAACTGCTCAACCTGGCAAAATTCACCCAACTCTCTCCTCCTTCTAAATATTTTTGCACACATTGTTCTCCATGCTCAGAACTTCCTGAAGCACAATGCAACTGCAGTCCCTCAGCCTGCTGCTATTGTCAGTGCAAACACAGCACCTGGAGGTCATTTAACATCATTATTACAAACACACAGCCCACCTTTCCGGCCTGGAGTTAAAAAATATTTTTTAAATTGCTGGGCCATCTGTTAAAGAATTATCAAGACAGAGCATGGCAACAAAATTATATAAAGCTCTTAAAAATCACAGAATCATAGACTTGACAGGGCTAGAAAGGACCTTGAACATTATTTCATTCCAAACCTGTGCTATGGGCAGACACACTTCCCACTGCACTAAGTTGCTCAAAGCCCCATCCAATCCAGCCTTGAGTACTTCCAGGTAGGGTTTATATGTATAAATACTAATAGACAGGTCATTTTTGATCATTAGCAAGTCTAACACTCTGGATTTTTAAATCCCACAGGACTTTGTGCTTTAAATGCCACTAGACCACCTCCTCTGATCTTTGTAATAACTCTAACATTAATATCAATGCCACCAAAAAAGAGCACTATTGTACAGCTTATATAATCTAAAGTTCAGGAAATGGTTTTTCCCATTATGGTTTCTTCAGCAGAAATAAAATCTCAGGTAAATGTTTGCTGTCTTCAACTTTAAGATAAAGGGAAAGTGGGCAGCCAGAGAAAGAGCACACCACTGCTCCAAACACTTGATGAACAACTATGAACAGAGCCATTAGCACTCTTCTAAGCAGCAAACCTCTTCAAAAACTGCACTCTTAAAAGCTTCTACTCCTGCATAGATTATAAAGCAGATTATTATAAATGTCTTATGTCAAATACAGAATCCACAAGCTGACCTTTAACGCAGCCATGTCTAAAATTTAACACACCGTCATCATGGGGGAAGAATGTTATTTGCAGACTGATTCAGCTTTTGAAGAAACAACTCTCTCACACGCACACAATGGAAGTTTATGTATTTTAGGGGCAGTGGGAGTGCACACCTGGAATGGAGAAAGTTATCCACCTGCAGCTTCCTCTTGAGGGTGAGCAAGAAGATATTGAGTTACAGGGTAATGAACGTCAGCGTTTCGCTGTCAAGGTGTGTTGCAAGCTGCACAAACAGGACCTCAAGCAAAAGGACCTGGTCTTCCACAGACATGACGCGCTCTTCAGCAAGCCTTTGAAGCCCAAAGGCAATTTGCATGTAACTACTGAAGGGCTGCTGCGCTGGTATGTAATTAGCGCAAGCTAATGCTCCTGTCTAAGAAAAAAGAAAACCCCCTCAAAGTGCAAGAACCAGTTTGTGCCCGCGCTGGGGTGGCTCAGCCGGCACAGGTGGGCACAGCCCCGGCCCACAGCTGGGTCAGGCCGGTGGCCGGGGCGGCCCGGTCGGTCCCGGCGCACGGGCCGCAGGCGGCTCCGGTCCCAGCCCGGGGGCCCGAACTGCCCTCAGTGGCTGCAGCGCCGGGACCCCCACCGCCCTCACAGCGTCCCGCGGCCGGCCCCTCCTCCCGCCCGGCACGGAGCATCCCCAGAGCCCGGCGGAGGCGGCGCTGCCCCCGGCGACCCCCGGCCCGGCCCCCCGGCCCGCCCCAGCCGCGTACCGGGCGCCGGCGCTGCCGGCCGGCTGGGCGTCCATGGAGGCGTCGCGACGGGCAGCGGCTGAGGGGAGGGCGGGAAGGCTTCGGGCACGGCTGGCGCTGCGGCTGCTGCTCCCGGCGGCCGCCGCAGCCAGCTCGCATGGTGTGTGCGGAGCGGCGGCAGCCGGAGCCTCGGCGCATGTTCGGGCAGGGCCGGGCCGGGCCGGGCCGGGCCGGGCGAGGGGCCGCCCCCGCAGGTGAGCGGCTGCGGCAGCGCCCGCCCCCCGCGGGCGTGGGGATGGGAATGGGGATGGGAATGGGGATGGGACCGGCTGGAATGCGGTGATTCCCCGGGGTTACGGACCCACCGCAGCGCTCGGGCGGGACCCGGGCGTGTCGCTCCGCACCGGGAACGGCCCAGAGGAACGCGGGCATCGCTTCTGTGTGCTGGAATTAAGAGTCATTAATTCCTCTCGAGAAAAATGAAACATGAAAACATAATTCATATTTCGCCAAGTTTTCAGTTAGCTGCACTCTGCACCTGCTGCCAAGGCAGGGTTTGCCAAGGTGCAGCCGTCTACCCCCAGCACAGGAGCTGTAGCACAGGAGTAACACCCCACAGGGCTCACACATCAGTGGGACCAAGTTATGACCAAATCACATAAATAAATAACTAGATGTAACTAATTATTTAATTTGTTCATTAACATAAAATTCATAAACAAAATATCTACAATTTTAACTTGCCTCTTCCATTAAAGAAAACCAAACCCATTGAAATTGCGAATAGAATATGCAATACTAAAACAAAAATTGCATTACTTTGGCCATTATCATATTATAATCGTATCAATCATGCACCTTCAGGGTTACAGGGATAACAGTTCAGAGCAGATTAAGAAAAGAAAGGAGCCTGTGGAAGGAAATGAACAAGGCAAAGGAAGGCAAAGGTATACACGGCCGAGGGAGTGGCAGGACAAACAGGACTGGGTTGACATAAAGAAACAATGGGCACATTAACGGGAACAGTGGGTGTATAAGGTTAAAAAAAGAAAGAATTTATTAGCTGCACACCGACAATGTGGCTCGTGATGTGCGGAACAAGGGGTGGGTGGCAGGACAGGCACACGCTCCAGTGCTCCAAGAGAAGAGGCAGACATTCAATGACTGAAGGATGATTCCCTCTTCTGACACCAGCCAAGAAGTCATGATTGTCTCCACTAAATCAAACATTTTAGCTCAGTGAGGGATAGCAAAGAGAGTTGTGACAAAAACCTTCCCGTGCTTTCTTTGCCAAAAGAGCTATTTTGGTACAAATGCAAGCCCACGTTTTCCAGCATAAAATACCTGTTTACATACATTCCATTTTCTGAATTGTGAGGCTCACACATTCCAGCTCACAGTGTTCACAATGAAGCCAGACTTCCTGAGTAGTTCTGCACTTCAGCCCATTGTCAGTAGCCACTCACAGCTAACTTAAAGAACATTTTTATTAATAAACACCCCAAAATATACTCTAAATTGATTTTTACAACTTTTAGAATTATATATTGTAGGAACAAAGTTGAAAAAGCTAAAACAAAACAACAAATTTGCTCCCCTGAGCATAGTATTGTATGTTTGAGAACAGCTGTGCTTTTAATATCTGACAGTAAAATAAAATAAATATTTTAAGTTAAATGGATAGCATATTACAGAAAATTAGAGAATTCAAATAGAGGAGTTTAACATTCAACATGTACTTTACCTGTAGTTTTCAGGATTCAGGGTCAGTGATTTGAACCTCAATTGAGTTATGCATTCAGTAAGTTATTACCGATTGTGAGTCCAAAATGAAATTCATACTCAAAAATCCTCAGAACTGTTTGGAACGCAAGGATCCTAATTTTAAAAATAAGGAGGTATTAGCAGAGCTTCAGTACGTATTAAAAAAATTCTACAAGGATCTTACCTAAAAACCCACTGAGTCTTTTAAAATTACTTTTTTTCTGTGTAAGTGACCACACCTGTTCATGTAGCATCTCAGGAGAGACTGCATTCTATGGAAAACAATTCAAAAGACCTTCTGGCTTTGAATACAAACATTTCAATGCTACACAGTCTCCATAGAATAAACAATAATTCTGGCCACACAGGAAAATCATGTGTGTGGATCAGACTAAGTCTGGCACATACAAACCTGTGAGAGCTGACGATTGGCTGAGTGTTAGAGGATCTCTCGCCAGGACAGACCTCTGAAGTCAAAGGCAACAGTTTCTCCCTGTATTACCAGCAAACTAAACCCTCAGTTATCTTGTATAAAACAACACTTCTGTTAAATTCTTAGTTTATTTCCAGTTATTTGTATAGTCCTGTATAGGACTACAACTGGCTGCTTATACCAACAGAGAAAACACCTCATAACATAACTCCTATCTACAGGATACAAAAGTAAAATGGGATAAAATTCCTTTTACTCTGCACAAGGTTGTCTTTCCAGATTAGAGCAGTTATGTAATAACTGTGAGACCTGTTAGCACTTACAGAAGAGGAAATGTCTTCGCATTAAGTGGTTTGTCCATACTCACTTATTAAATCAGCAAGAGATAACTAGAAACAACATCCTGACTCCAGAACACACATCCAAACAAAGCAGCATTTCCCCCCTCTATCAGCAGATCACCTGCTCTAAAAACTAATGGTCTTTTTTTGGGGTTAAAATCGAAGGTCCAGGCAGCTCCAGATGTCTCCATTGTGGCACCACAGGCATTCTGAAGTATTCTGAGCATGGAATGGGAATGCAGCTGGTGTTATTGATGTATGTTTTGCTATTCCTTGTTTCTTTAAAGAGCTTGTGGATAAAAATGACTTCTGTTTCAGGATATTACTGACTGATGGCTTGTCAGCTGATTAATTACAAGTTCCTTCCCACCTTTTCTGGGATAACATTATGCTGTCTTCCCTCCCTTCCTCTTTACTTCTGCATCTTTCTACTTTAAGCCTCAGAGGTCCCTGCAAACACAACTCTGCACAGAATTCAAGAGTTCAGTAACACTAACATGGGCAACTAAATTCTACTCTACCTACCACAAAAAAATCAAAAAAAGATCTTTTATTAGAGAAAATCATTGTCCTCTTCCTTCTTATAAGAAAAAATGGATGCATCTGAAAGCCAGTCTTCATTGGAAAATGGAATAAAAATCAAGAGTATTCACTGACATCATACAGAATTCCATAACAAGAAAACACAGTACTTGCCAATATTTTGAACAACTATGTTACTTTCCCAATCTTACTTTCTCTTAAATCTCTCTCTTATCTAAATCCAGTATCATCTAAATTACCATTCTGTCAGTATTGCAAACACAAAAACATGAGGTTGCACATCCCTGCACACAATGACTTTGAAGATTCAGGCTAAAGCCCAACTAACACACTCCAGTACTCAAGTCATAAATTTGCTAAATATTCAAATTCTAAACTAGCCAATTTAAACTTAGGTAGGTAAACGAAACTGTTGGGAAGTTACTGGGGAAATAACACAAGACAACACAATTCTGCCACTGGATCCTATTCCTGTGAAGGTGACCCAAGGCAGGTGTGTCAGGTGGCAAAGGCCACAGACACCAGACTACAGTCAGGACACCTCACAGTGCATTCATTCACAAAATGCTTTACATCTCACAGCGCCCTCTTGAAAAAACAGGCAAACAGTTCACATTTATGTACTTAAACTTTATTTCTTCATAATTACAGGCTATTGTTAGAATTTTTAAACAAAAGGGAAGTCTATAAATAGAGGCTAATCCCACCTGAACGAGTTGTTTAAAAAAAAAATCAAAACAAACAGTTAAAACTTCATAAAGTAATGCCATTTAGCTCACAGCAGTGGTTTGTTGGTAGTCTGAGTAAAAGTCCTATAGTCAGAGTCAGTAACATGAAATGTAACATCAAATGACTCAAAACTTTAAATTCCATAAAGGAAAGCAGGAATATATATATAATATATACATATAATATTGTGTTGGTCCACTGAGTATACATTTTTAACAAAAGATAAGAAACTATGTAATCCAGTTAAGCATATGATTTGCAAGATTAGTGTACACTCATTACAAAGATGTATAAGGTAAGTTATAACTATTTAATACTTGCAAAATTTTAAGTTACTTTTTTTTGAGCAGGTGTTTAAATGCTCATCTCCCAGTGCAAAACAAAAACCATCCCAGTCAGGTTACTCATTTTTTCCTTGAAAAATTGAAAACCCTCAAACTCATGCAACAGCAGCATTGACAGGTAACGGGAAGAGCTTAAATATACTGAAGTATGGCCGAGTTCTCCCCCTTTGCCCCAGTGCTTTGTGTTGAAACACTTTAATTTCCTCAAAAGAAATACCACAGGTTAAAAGTGCAAGAAAAAAAAAACCCTTCTAGATGTTTATGCTGCTGCCATCCATTTTTCTTAGATAGGGCACAAGATTATTGTTTTTGGAATTATTTTAATGAAACTGATTTTCCAAATAGAATTCATTCAAAATTAACAATAAGTTACTTTTATTAAGTTATTTTCATTAACATTCTATCAATCCTACTGTGACTCAGTGACCATTCAGAAATCATTCAGTTTAAGGTGCAACTATCAGTTGGCATTCAATAAATTACATATACAGAAAACAACTGTGGTTAAAAAAAATATAAATCAGACTACCTGTTTTTTCTTTCTATTTTCAATCCTATTTCAAATGGAACTCATTAACTTGCCAGTTCAGCTGCATATTTCACAGGCAAAAGTGGCTCAAATAGCAGTGGGGTCTCACAACTTGCCAGTCACCTTAGCCAACAGCAAATGCACATGAATTTTCAGCTTAATTGCTTTATAAAACAAAATAACAGGTCTGTCTTAAAACCTATGATCATGCAGGAAAAGCAATAAAGGTTTCACAAGGACATACTCTTTCTGATGGAGACTTCTTGAAGATTATGTTAAACCCAACATAAAATCTTCAACGAGCAGAAAAAGAATCTATATGCATACACATAAAATAAAGCACTCTCCAACTCTGGTATCACTAAAACCCCTTCAGAAGGATAAAAGGTTTCCAGTGACTAACTGCTTGATGGGAGACAGTCAGCCATGACAGAGTAATTGCTGTGTTCACTTTATGCTCAATTACCAACTGCTGATAGATTACAGTCAAACCCCAATCTCTCTAACTGCATTTTAAACTGATTTGCTTTCAGCTGGGAAAAGTACTTTGCTGCTCTCCTGAAAACTTGAGAGAAATTGAATGCTAAACTTAACAATTATTCAAACAACAACCAAAAGGATTAAATTTAGCAGAAACATTCACATCACTTTCAGAAATTTAAAACCTTTCATAGTTTCTTGTATATATGCATTTTCTGATTAACATTTAAATAGGTTAGGTACTCAGGAAAAGGGACAAAACAGTTTACGCCAGATAAAATCTTATTCTAAACTTCATGCTTCTGATATTTCAGATTTACTGAGTGCAATAGCCAGTTCCAAGTCTTCTTGCTCTTGCTGTTTTAGTCTTGCCAATCTTTCTTTTTCTTCTCTCTCACTTTCTCTCTTAGCCCATTCAATCATGTCTTCCTCAGTAGAATACTGCAAGTTTAAAAGACAAAATAAAACAGATTAATAATACAGTAATAATTATTACTGTCCACTCAGTTTTAGGAACAATTAGTTTTTCAATAATTGTACATATTCTAATCTTCAAATATTACTTGTTTTGTAGTTGCAATAGACTAAACTAGATTAGTCTAAGGTTTAACTACTAAGAAGTTCACTGAAGCCATCAAACTGAGGTATTTTAATAAAATATGCCACGTTTCAAATTTCAGAATTAAGTTTCAAAAATGTTACTGAGCAGAAAGTGCTATAATTTAAATACAGTTTTATTTTGGATAAATACCCGTCCATAGAATAAAAACTTTGAATAAATCAGGAGAACATTTTGCAAAGCACACTCCTATTTGCACTGTAGGCCATCCTGATTTATCCCGCTTTCATTAGGGATGACTTTTCCAGGTGAAAATGACTGCAAAAATTGAACTGTAGACTAAATTGCTAATTTAGCTGTAGACTGTTTCTGAATGTGTAGGTGACAAATATTGCTGCCAAGAAGCAGCAAAATAATAAGGGTAACTGTAGAGTTAGAAGGCTGGTAGTAATACAGAGAAAGTCAGCATGATGTGAGAGGGAGAAAAAAAGAACAGATTATTTCCATGTATACTGATGAGAACTGATCGTGAACTAAATACCTCTGGTACAATGATTATAAATCAGAGAGAGCTAAGGGTATTATCTTAAATAAAATACAAAAGATTATGCTAAAGTTTCTTCCTAGCAAACATGCAGAAAAATTAAGAGGTAGGTGAGACCCCTGTCCTCACAGATGTCCCAGCATTAACTGAAAGGTTTAGAGGTTAGAAACTCCAGGTCTCTGCTTTGAGCTCCTTCTTTGAAAAGAAAAGCACAATTTTTCTCCATATGCACTCAGTATTTTCAGTAATTGGAAAATAATTTTTTACTCCAATATTGTAAAAGAATACTATTTCCTTCACAAAGATTATAAACATTTTTGCCACTCAGTCTCCCTAACTACTGCCACAGATGGATAACCACATTTCAGAAGTTACCATGCTCCAAGACACACCAACCAATGCAAGTCTACTTTGAGAGCCTGACAATCCTTAATTTACTTCAAACAAGCATGTAGCTTATTAGGCCTGAACAGAAAGGGCAGTGTCAAGATACTGTAAATGCAAATTGCATTTAACAGGCTTGAAAGTGAGATGATGGCTTTCAAAACTTCTACTTGCAAAAGCTCAAAAGAAAAAAGTAATATATAGGCATGCACAAACCTTTAGATTTGCTTCTACTGCTTGGACACCACGACTTCTATGAAATGAATTCTGGTTATAAAGAGACACTTACTATTTTATTTCATTGTGCATAAGTCTAGAATTTACTAACCATTCAAAACTCATCAAATTATATTTCATTAACATACACTGTTATGAGGCTGTTTATCAGTATTTCAGTACCTTAAAATTATGACCAAACTGTTCAGTGATAGTTAAATTAAGATCACATTTTGGTTTATTTTTAGTTGGATAGTTAACAGTGTGCTTGTTATAGATTTGTAATTTTAATCTGCACACAATTGCTAAAATGGATAATCCCTAGAACATATGTATTTTTGAAATCCTCTCCTCTAAAAGCTAGAAGGTCTCCATGAAAATGCAAATCATAAAACCAATACAATTTAAACATTAACTACAACATTTCGCAGCATTTTGTTTTAGGAGAGCCTCAGCTGTAAACTAAATGTAAACGCTGTTTTAACTAGAAGCAATATCCCTTTTGTACATGGGATATGTTTTAATAATTAAATTAGACTGAAGACTTCAGTGTGAACATTTCAAAGCTGCTGTTATACTGAAACAAATGTAAAAAGTGTTTACTCACAGTACTGAAGTTTGCAAAATTGTTGGGGTCAGCCTCTTTACTGATGCTGGTGGGAGCAAATGGATCACAGAATAGATCTGCTTCTTGTTCTTTGGGAATGTCTGGGGTGGGGAAAGGCTGAAATGGATCGCTCGACTTAAAGGAATCTGAAGAGTCTATTTGATTGATAGGTCTTTTCCCTTAGATTAAAATGAATTTAAAATGAATTTAAGATAGCAGGTAATAACATGCCAAAACTAGTAAAAAAAAACCAAAAAACATTCAAAAGCTACTTAGAATGCAACCTCTTCCCACAAAATAGCAGAGCTGTAGTTTCAGAGGAAGGGTTGCCAATTTAAAAAATGAGGGTACAGCCCACACTTTCTGAAAGGTTAATCAGGTAAAAAGGAACACATGTATGTTAATGAGTTGGGAACACAGCTGTATCTTAATTAACTATTTTGGAAAGACAACTTCTAACAAGTTTTGAGCACCTATTCTGTCGGCACAGTATTGTTTTTTGGTTATCAACTGTCTTTAATCATTCCAGCAAGGCTCTTTTATTATTTCTTTGGATCAAGTTAACACAATTTTATTCAGAGAGCAGAAATACATTACATTTATAATGTCCTCTCCCTATGCTAAGACCAGGAATTACTGCAGTTTAAAACAAGGACTATGATAACAAGCAATCAGAGGCTGAGCTGTTTTGCTAATTCTTGCCTAAGAAGCTGCAAATAAACAGAATCAGGGAGAAACACCCACTTTTTTTGTTGGTTTTTTTTTCAGCTTAACCCCAGTTCACTTTCAACATGGATGAGAACATTAACCGAAATATTTCCAAGAAGAATTGAGCTGAATTCCACCCACCACTCCCTCTGTATGTTACTGTTTGCACAAGAGGTTTCAATGCAGTTTCTTGAATTCTACTACCAGGTTCTGCAAGTGGTTCCACGCTTGCAGTGGGTATTTTAAAACTTGCTTCTGTTTCCATTTAAGATTAAAACTACAGAATTGAAAAAAGGTTCTTATTATTTCACATATCACTATTGAAAATTAGCCTAAAATTACTTAGTAAGAGGAAAAGAGATTCTCATCTGGCAATGATTTAGAGATTTGGAGAACATCTCCTGGGAAACATATGATTTACTTAGACACTTCCCAGATAGCTCTGCCATCTCTCTCACTGATGATGTTCTATCCATGTATCACTGATGATACCATGCTGCCCCATCCCTGGAAATGTTCAAGACCAGGCTGGATGGGACTTTGAGCAACCTGCTCTAGTGAAAGGTGTCCCTGCCTCTGGCAGGGGCTTGGAACTGAATGATCTTTAAGGTTTCTTCTAACCCAAACCATTCTGTGATTTTACAGTTCTGTTACTCACAAATAATGCCTGCCTGTTTCTTGAAAAATGTGGGAGAAGCATCTCTAAATGACAACCAGGGAATTTTATTTTTGCATGGAAGGGTTAATAATTTTAAGAATATACAATACACAATCACCAAATCTTCCCCAAAATCAAGAAATGAGAGTGTTTATCAGTATCTAGAGAAGCAATAGAAATCAGAGGCAACACCCCTTCTACAAACCTTCCACTAGAGTGAAGAACTAAAAGAAATATTTTTGGGTATTTATTTGAAAAAACATTCCATTGTTTCAAATCAAACCAAGGAAGTAATTAGAAATAATTACACTTAAGTACCTCAGATTTTATTTCCACTAAGAAAATAATTAATTGGGAATGGTTATCAAGATAATTACATTTTTAGTGTGCATATCAAAACCACCTGTTTTTTCCTAATTATCTGTTGCTAAGGATGCTGCTGCTCCACCCCTAGAAGCTTGCCTTCCAAAAGTGCACCACATCACAGCCACTCCCACACAATCAAGTAAGAAATCCTTTTTATGTTTAAATAAGGAATGACATCAAACATTCCAATTATCATTACTTGCCATGTCAGCTGTTTTAATGTAATTTACAATGGAAATGATTACTTGCAGGGCATTAGCATGAACCAGATCTCACACCAACATTAGAAACTAAACAGCTGAGTTTAAACTTCAGTATGAGCACTCCTGTATCTACTGTGCTCCCCTTCTTTTGAGGAAAAGATTAATACACATTTAAGTTTCATGCCAGTTGCTCAAAATACCTTAAGACTCATCCATATAGTGTAACAGTGAAACAAATGATGCAGTAGAGTTTTTAAAGACAATGAAACAGAGGACAGAATTTTTTAAAGGATTACTAGAAATATATTTTTCTATGTTTGCAAAAAGAAATTGAGAGTGAGGAGTCTGTAGTAATATGGTCCTGTTGCAAGCACAAGAAGGTGTTGTTATGCATGATAATCATGGCCTTTTCTGGAAAGCAGAGTGGTTTGTGCCATGGAACGTTGCAGAAACTCCTCTATCACCGAGGGGAAAACAGCCCAGGGAACTTGGGTTTATTACTGTTACTGCTACAGACCTCTGGCAAGGCCACCTAGACAAAGTTAACCTGAAAACCTAAGCCGGTTTTTTAACCCTATTTAATTCATTTTGCATTAAACCCATCTGTGTTTGCAATGTATAAAGCACACTAAATTTTCACTTTAAGCATAATTTAATTCAATATTCACAGTGTAGTACATTAGCAATCATTTAATTTGCAGCTATGCTGTCTTCTTGCACACACTTTTAACAAGTCTTCTTTCCTGTTTTTTAAATCCTTTGTGTCTCCAAACTCTGGTTATAAACACCACGCAAAACTTAACTCTGAGGAAACAACCAACAGATCAGGAATGGACTTCTTTCACATCTTGCTCGTTCATTTTAAATTCAGACCCTTTGCCCTCCCCTCATAATTCCTGTCCCTCTGCCAACATGAAGCAGCTGACTGTTACCACATCTCACTGTCAGCTCTTACCAGGTGGGGGTGGACAGGGCCTGGTGGGAGTTCCTGTCTTAGGGGGCAGTGCAGGAGGAACATCCTCATTTTTAGCTGGTGCTTCCTCAAACAAGTTTTTAGTTATAGTGACACTGCTGACAGAACCTGATGTGGAAGAGCTAAAGGGATCCTCATTGTTGGCCTTTAAAAAACAAAACAGCAACACACACATTTTCAGTGCAGTGCAGACATTCTCTTCAATAATACAGTACTGAATCAGAACTCAAAGTTTGGAATAAGACTAAAGAAAAGACTTCTGTTTGTTTTTACACATATCCACATACTCCAGAAGACTGAACAGAAAGAAAAATCAGGAATGGTTACAGTGTACAACACTATAAAGTTGAAAGCAGTTAAACATGCAAAAGAAATACTTTTGCTGCTAAAATCAGCAAATTTAAATAAATAAATTATAGTATCACTGGAAATAGAGAGAAAACAATTATCAAGCCAAAAAGATTACACTGCATTCTTCACAGAATTTCAGGACAATTTGCTATCAAGACCTCTTTTTCAAGCAAATCAGCCATTATAAATGTTTAGTAGTGGCAAAATTGTAATGAAACTGAGTAAGCTTTGCCTTGTCACTGCAGTTTCATGCATTTTCTGTGAGTAGCAGCAGCTTCATATTACCTTTGACAGCGTGCTGAAGTCAGCAAAGCCACCTTCAAAGGATTCACTTCCAAACAGAGAGGCAAAGGGGTCTGTAGCTAAATACACACAAATCAAGCCAAGAATAAGATTTAAAGTTAAATATAAAAGACTGAAAAGAAAAATTCCCACTACTATTATTACTACATAGCAACTATTACATTTTTTGCAACATAAACTAATTCAAGTGAAATATTTTATGAGGTGAGCACTCCAAGTTCTTAAGTAACTTTTCCCAAAACTCTTAAATGTCAACTTCCAATTAAGAACAATAAATCTCCTGAATAGGAAGTAACTCAAAAGAAATACTGGTATGTTTTCCTACATAAAAAAAAAGTTAAATTCCACTGAAAGTATCAAATAACCATATTACTGGAAATGTTCTACTGAGATACATGTATGTATACACACAGAGGTGTTTTTTGTGTGCATACACCCATAAATATACAGATATATATATATATATATATAAAAATTTATGTGTGTATATATATATATATATGAACATGAACCAGAGCTCTTTTCTGACTGAAGACCCACTTTTGAAATCAAGTACCTGAACCTCATATCATCCCAGTCTAATTCAACAGTACCTTTTCATTCTCATGTGCCTAAAATATGCGAAAACTGCTACTGTGCAGTATACAGGAAGTTCCATACTCACTTCTGCATCTCTAAAAACCACCATTTTGTCCTTACAACCAAAATGAATTTACAATACAAAAATCACACATAGATTCCTGTTTTGGGTTATTACTTGTCAGTGCAGTTTAGGAAAACGGGAGTTATGAGCCTTCCCTGAAACATCTTCAGCTCTCATATGAGAGAGGGTCACAGAAGGAGAAAACTTGAGCAGTAAAACATCTCAGTGGAGGAGTTACTGTATTCCACATCTGCTCTCATGGTGCAGAGCTATCCTGATGTTACTCAGACAGTAACATGAAATCTCTGAAAACAATCCTAATGGGAAGCAGTACAAACCACCCAAATAATCCAAGCACTTCGATCGGGATACTGTCACAGTTTTAGTAAAGCAGAGGAACAGTTTTTGTGGAATCAGTCTTCAGTGATACACACTACAAATAGAGTCAATTTTGGGTTACAAACTTCCCCCCTGAAAACAGGCACTTTATGTCACACTTTTTGGGACAATTCAGAAAACATGGGAAATCCCTATAACTCTGTTGCAAATTCAGTTATAAGACTAGAAACAAAAGCAAGTAAAAGCAAAAATAAAACCCAAGAAGCTTGATATGTACAATCTACTTTTACCTAGATCATTTGATGTAGTGACAGTAGTTCCACCAGGAGCAAAAGGGTCATTCTTCTTTGATATCTCTGTCTAAAATAAAAAATTCCTTTGGAGGGAAATTTGTTTTCAGCTTAAAAGATTGTTCAATCTAAGAATACAGTCACCATTTATTTTAGTTTAGAAGTTGTAAGATAACACATTCTGGAAATAGCTTTTATCAGCATCAGTAAATAAGCTTATGAATAGAAACTCTTCCTCTCTGTTTTGATTAATACTTTGAACGGATGGGAAAAAGGTACAATATGTGCAATGTACCTGGTAACAGCTAATGCAACATATTACTACTCTATTGCTCATTTAGGTCTCAGATTTCTACAACCAGAGCCATCTTCAAGGAGATCTAAGATTTTAACACTCCAGAGAGGTGTGGTAAAGCATTTAGAGTGAATGCATAACTTCAGTTCTGAAGTACAGATCTCAAGAATCCACTGCTAATCCCACTCCACAGCTCTGAGTTCCCTGTTTTTTAATTTGTTGGGACTGCAATACGACCAAGAATTGATTACATTAGAACACCAACACTTGGAAAAGAATAGTGTGCTGAGTACTACAGAACACTAATCTAGAAGGAGAAATCTAATTTTTAATGCTGGAAGTGTAAGCTGTGGTGTGTAATACGACCTTGAGATCTGCACAATGTGCACACCATGGGGAAGGGCAGGACCATCACTGCAAGGTGCAGCGATTTCTCACTCTTGGTTGCTGTGGGTCCCCCTCAGGCACACTCCACAGCCACCTAACTTGCTTCTTAATCCACATGTATCTGAGTTTTATATATGCCTGTGCATGTTTTATGCACACACAAAGCTGTAAGTGAGGTATGAACAGAAACACCACTGAAAAGGAAAGGACATGGCAAAAGAATGGAGACAAAGTTAATGGCACAAAGAATTTCATCTGCTTAAATTGTTTGTCTATCAGCTTTAAATATTACATAATCAACAAGTTCTAGTCTACACCAGAGAGAGTTTTATGCTCAACTCTACCTTATTAAAGGCTCAAGACTATTCAGTAACTGCTCATTTATAATATGAGCTAAAAGTTAGACTGAAGTATCCTTGAAAGAGGTACATTCAGTAAGCATCTCCACATTACAAGAAACCTTTGGTGATTCTTACTAAAAAAATCCAAACGACACCAAAACCTAAACATACACCTATAGAAAAAACTGACTTTTCTGACGGGAAACCCCATATATCACATCAGATTTCAGATAAAAAATATAGCACATAGTTCTTGATCCTATAGTATGTGGAGGCAAAAATCAAGTGTCTGAACATAACTTGGTGAGGTTGATCCTAGCTTTCTTTCCATTTATTATGTTCCATCAACTAATAGATTTGTTGGAGAGCTCTAAAGCTTAACAGAGCTTAAGTCATTGTTAAATAATGACAGAGCTCAAGTAGTTACTGTCAAATGTTCTTAGCTTGGAGCAATGAAGATCCACAATGAAATACTTTAAAAATGTTTTTATTTTTGCTTCTATTTAATCTATGACTATTTCTATAAAATATGACACAAAAGGACAAGACAGAGCTGGGGAATCAGAAGTAACCTTTACATGATTTCTGAATATCAATTTTTTAAAGCATATCTAAATGTACAAAACAGGTTATTTTGTCCAAATCACATAGAGAAAGCAGTAAAAGGTGTAACACCATACTTACTGTGGTATTATTACTGTTGTCTGCAGAACTAAATGGATCAGTGCCAGCAGTCACAAAAGGGTCGGTGGAGGATTGTTTGAAGAAAGAGTCAGCTGCAAAAGGGTCTGAGCCTTTGAAGGGATCGCCACCAAAGGGATCTAAAAAATAAACATCTCCCTAATATTTCTGCTTGCTTTATTTAGCTGAGATCCTAAAAACTAAACAATGTATCGCTTTTTCATAGTGCTACCCAAAGTGACACATTTAAGACCAAGGACCTTTGAAGTATGAATTTTGCCTGTCAATAATTTGTATTCTGTGATTCAAAACATCGGACAAGCCAAAGTTTTCTGCACATGACGAAAACAGCAGTTCCAGATTCTTCTCAGCATATAGGCTCTTTAAACAAATCCCTAAAAATGAAGGATTACACAGAACCTAATGCTCCTAAGAACTGTCCTGCCCTCTCCTGCACTTCCCAAGCCTAATTGATGTTTCTTATTTGGCACTTGGTGCTCAACCCTATTTTACTATTGCTTTCCCACTGGTTATTTGGGGGTTTTTTGCCACCAGTAACTCCACTCAGGACCAAGGAAACAATTCAATGACATTCCCTAGGCAGTCGATCTAAAGAGAGATTTCCCACCTCCTCAATACTTGATTCTGAAGGAAGTTGGTATGTTAAGGACCTTTTAAAAGAGCACAGTCCTACTACTTTGCAAATAAAGCAGGCAGCAAGTGTTTGGGGCCTTTTGTTCATCACCTTCACATACTTAAATCCCAACTTCCAACAAGAGCAAAATTCACTGGCTATGGACTTCTCTGAAAAGCTTTTACACAAGAGGCCAGGTGTTAATGTCACATATATTCTATCACGACTTTTTGTGGCATTTCCACCTACTTTTTTTCTCTCTGAAAGTGGTGACAATTTTCCACACTAGCAAGAACCATTTAGAAAAACAAACACATTATGAGTTATAAAGTTACTTACCAATTTTTCCAAAAGGGTCATCTTTGAAGGGATCATCTGTTCAAAAGAAAAGCAAATATTCATTAAACAGCTTATTACCATCATGAAACTCACACGGAATCAGCCATCTCCAGGCTGCATTTCCCCTGGCTGTTGTCCACAAACACCCACATTATGCAGTATTACCACTGCAGTAATCCAGGCCAGCTACTGAGATGAGCCCCAGGTTTGTTTAATTGTCACAAACACTGTGGATGGTGGCTCCTAAGTGTTCACTTCAGTATTGGATGCATGATCCTAACTAATTTTTACTTTCTCATGTACATCTGAGAGACAGATGTCCTACCTCTTAGCTGTGGTTATCTACCCCTGAATATACTGAGTGCTCAAAGCCCAAAAGTTTGGTTCTTAACAGACAGACCTTTTCTCTTCTGAAAGAAAGGCCTAGTCATGTGCTGTAAGACCACTTCAATATAAACAAAAATCAAGCAGTATCTACACAGAAACATTCAAGCTGTTTTAAATTATTTTAATTTATTCATTAGAAATATTCAATCTGCACTGACATTCTTTCAGAAGCCAAGTGATCTGAAACAAATTTAGCTTATTTTCCTTTCAAAGCAATACAAGCTAAATTGATCAGACCATGTTGATCTGAAAGCATGTAAAATCATATTAATGTGGCTGAAAACATCTGCTTCAGCAGTTAATTCAAATTAACTCCCCTTCCCCAATTGGCTTCATACAGGCAGATCATTCCTTCGATAAAAAATAAGAACAGAGCAACATCATTCGTCAATGGCAAGTTCTTAAAATAAAGCCCAGCACTTCCACAAGATGAACAGATGGTGCAGCTCCACATTACCTTGTTCTGAGAGCCAAACTCCCCACAAGTAGGCCACAGCCATTCATTCTGAACCACCCACATCCTCCCCACAGCACAGCCCAGAGAACCCTCCTCTGACCTGTTTCTGGATAGGGGCTGTCAGATCAGTGATACCACACATATCACAAGCCTGCCCACACCCTACAGCCAAAATGCCACCAGGGCACAGGCAGGGAGGGGATGGGGAAGAGAAGTCCTCAGGAAGAGCAATGAGGGAAAGGAGCAATTTTCAGAGCTCATTAGGAAGTCCAGATCAAGGAAGGAGAAAGACCCCAGAACTCTCATTTCTATCACTTCTGTTTCTGTAACGCTATGGGTTCCACGCTCCTGTCACCCACATCACCCACACACCTTCAGATTTATCCTATAAAGAGCAGTCTCATGGTGAAGACAAGTCTGATGCATTCACACAAGTTCCTTCAAATCTGCACTTAGAGAGATGTTTACTTACTGCCAACAAAAGGGTCAGACTGGAAGAACTCTAAGCTGGCTTCAGAAACTAGATCAGGCAACGGATGAGATTCAGCATCAAATGGATCTTCCTGGGCAATGCAGACAGAGAGAAACATATTAAATTTTTAAGACTTGCAAGGATGGAGAACACTTATGTCATCTCCTGTTACCATTCAGTGGTTTCTTAAAGCTTAAAGCAAAGAGACAGCTGGAATTCTATATAATTCATCAATGGAGATCCAAAATATTGTTCAACAACCTGCCTGCTACATGAGATTAAATGTTTTCAAGATATCACACTTAATAAAACCAGTAGGAAGTGACAATTATTCCTCTATTGTTGTATGACCATCATGCAAGCTTGAAACAGTTTAACCAGGATTTTTTTTAACCTACTTTTTCCTCCCCCAAACCTGAAGAAACTCACTTTTTTGGTAACAGTTGCTGCTGGGGTCTCTTTCTCTTCTCTTACTGAAACTGCTGTTTCAGGACTATTCCTTACCTGTACAAGGGTAAAAGCAATTCACCATAAATAAGTAAATACAAGACTGCACAATAAAATTTTAAGTTTTAAATGGAATCACAGAATATAGAAAAGCATACTTCAAGAGGTTCATGCTTATTATAGCACATACTTTAGTGTTCCATAAACCCTGTAAAAGTTCTAAAAAATAAATCAATCATGAATCTACTGAGACATAAGGAGGAACATTTAAAGCAAGACAGTTTTAGATTTTCTGTACTTTTCCTTATTCTGCTCTCATTGCACCAAATGGAGACAGCTGCTCTCATTTAAAGTTAATTCTGCTATTCAATTTATGATATTTTGCTTTGAAAATAAATACAGAAAAAAATGTTATTGCTACTTTCTAGGCAAACTAAAATTACCCCCTTTTCTGCTTATGAACTTTCAGATATGTGGAAACACAGTCCCTCAGAAAAACACTCTGAAATTTCAGTTGTGCAAGTGTTTAAAAACATAATTAATCTTGGAACATTCATAACTTATTCCAACTTCACAGCTGCATTGCATCATGATCAAGTAGGCAAAACACTACTCACTGGAGACACACTGTTTGTTTGCTCCTCTTCTGCTATACTTTCCCTCTCAGCATTCTCATTAAGGTTTGCAGTTTCACTGCTGCTGTTGCTAAGACTAGAATGATCCACAGTTCCATTAACAAGTGTACTATGGGGCTGAGAGTGCCAACTAAATTGGTTATTTTCCAGTTCTTTCAGCTCAAGAAGCTTTGTCTGCACCTGTAAACAGAATTACATGTATTAGCATCAGCATGGTAGCACATGCAAGCCAGTAAATGGCCATCCCTCCTAAATATAAGGTGGGTGATGTATGTCTGAAAATCTTATTTTCAAAAGCAAATGTAATAAAAACCTGTTCTGTCAAATAAAGAGTGAAATTTGAGAGATAAGCAGAAATTTTATTTAGCAGAAGTGCAGAGTGGTTGAAGAACACACCTTTTGCCAAGGAAGAAGACTGTGTCACTGGCAACACCAAGACTTGTTGCTATTCAAACTCACCAGAAAAGTTGCAAAGGTTTCAGGGGTTTTTTGTTTGTTTAGTTTTGCTGGGGAGTTATGGTTAGGCTTTTTTTTCTTATTTTTGTTTTCAACAGGGGTTTGTGTGTGTGTGTGGTTTGGGTTTTTTCCTAGATTACGTATTTGCAATTTCCTTAAACTCAAAATTAAAAAGGCTGCTTTATCAGAATTCTTATCTTCCAAGAAGGAACATTATGATTTCATTATCATCTCCCACATGACTTCTGAAGTCTACAAAAACCAAGTATATCTTCCTAAGCAGATACTTATATTCATATGTTGTTATTTCAGCAAGATGCATAATGCAGTGCCTTACAGCACGCATTTACAACCAACCTGCCAGTTATGAAGGAATTACTGGGTCTGGCAGATTTTGCAAAAGAATAAACCTAGTCAGATATTTGGGTGCCTAAATCCCACTGAACTCTGCTAGGTCAGTCACCTAATAGAGTTACTGGGGTGTCAGCAAAGACACCATCAGGTGTCTTGCAAGTTAACTGACTGCAGACCAGCCATTAGATAATCTTGCCTAAAGCACCAAAACACCTACTATTCCTTACTTAGAAGTCAAGAGCAATAAAATCAGGAGTACTGCTATAAAACCTAGTGAAAAAAATGTCTGTAGTATAGTCAAGGATAACCACTTAACATTTCAGTCTCAAATCTGTTCATGGCAACCATCTCTTGCCATATAAAACCACTGTAGTGGTATAACCTTCTCTCCAGCTGTGATGAAATTATGAAAAAAAAGTCCATTTGTTTACTTCTCTGTTTCTAAATTAAAAGCCATATTTTAAAATTATGACTGTTATAATTCTTGTTAGCAAGTTACAGATGTGAATTGTGTGAAATGGCCAACTCTGAAGTCAGCCATTTCTAGGGTTCAAAGGTAGGCTTTGTCTTTTGTTTTCAACTTGGTACCAGTGTGAGTGGCTAACATATAACACAGCTGGCAACAGGGAAGGAGAACCATGAGGAAAGGGTGTGCAAGCTCATCACTGAACTTATAACAAACCACTGATTACAGAGAGAAACTGGAAGTGTGCAACAGCAGCCACTTGAAAGCAGAGGGCTCTCTGCCTCTCAGTGTCTAATCTCAACCCAGTTTCTTCTTCCATCCACCTCACTTTCCCCCCTCAACAATCCACTAAGTAAATGCTATCAGTAATTTTATATCAACTTCACTTCAATTAAAGAACAGTGAGAGCAAGCCCCAGGCTATGGAGGATGAAAACTTCAATAACTACTGGACACAGAATTTAAGTCAGCATTATCCATTTTTCATTCATTACATTATGACAAATTATTTATGGACTATAATAAATTAAATACTTTAATTAATAAACTTGGAGAAAGACCATGAAGTATCTTGAGTGACTTAAGTCAGCCTCTAAAAATCCTAACAATTTCTAGCACAGAACACATGTGTAAGTAACTAAAGACATGAGCAAACAGTGAAGAATAAAGGAAACGCCTTCCCTTTAAGGCAAACCACACTAAAGATTGCCAGCTCAAAATATTTTTTGGCGGGGCTGGTCTTTCACACTGCCTTACTGAATTGATTTCCTGTTGTGAATCCTGCAGATGTTGCTGAAGAGGTCCCAGCTGTGCTTTCCCAGACTCTATGCAATGCTCAAGCTCTGCAGTTTCTTGCTGCAGGCGACTCAGCTCCTCTTGGGCTTTGGTCAGTTCATCTTCATAAGCTGAAATCTTTGATTCCTGGCTTGTTATTTCAGCCTTTAGCATGGCAATCTAAAGCATGAATAGTATTTAAAGTAAAAAAAAAAAAAAAAAAAAAAATCAAAAACCCAAACAACACTTCCAAACACATCCAAATACTATTATTTATGACCAGAAAAAGTAAAAACTCTCATAGCTATTGCAGAGATTATAGTTCATACCCAAATGAACAATGAGAATAGTTAATTCTCTATTGGTAGCAATAAGAAGAGAGAATTTTAGCTGTTCTTCTGACCAACACAGATATTTCTAGTATTGAGAAGATAATTTAATATCTTAAAGTAATACAATAGCTGCATAAGATTATATTGTTTTAACCACTAAGAAATCAGTCCCAGTAATTAGTGATTCTAACTACATTTATATTGTAACAATTTTGCTAACTGCTTTAAGCCTTATTTGTGTGCAAGTATACCTCAATATGTTTGTTGACAGACTGACACTAAATTAGGAACACTAAAGCAAGTGATGTATCTCCTATGCTTTGTTGGTCACAAAACCTTGACAACTAAGGCTATTTTATTCATTAATGCTTTTTTCCTGCCCCAACAACTGTAACTCTGCAAGGCTGAGTTCTTCAAGGCAAGGCATTTATGCTTCCCAAGGGCACTGGCCACCAGAGCTTACCAAATGGGCCTCCTCTGCACACTTCTGCCTGATGTCATTAAGTTGTTCTTCCAACTTGGCCTTCTGCTCATCAAGATCATTAAGGGTTTCCTGTGCTTCCTGTTTCTGAGCTTGCAGCTTCTGCAGATTACTGCTCTCCCGCTTTACTTCATCCTGGAGATCCTGAAATAAAACACATCAGCTTGACATTTGTTCCCTCTCTCCCCTTAACCACTGAATTCCACAGTACAAATTGCAGTGCTAACCCAGATTTCAAAGTATCAACAAATTATCTTCCAGAGGCTCACATGGATATCAGAGAAGCAAGCACTTTCAGATTCTAATTCAATGACATAAAAATAACCAGCTTGTTTGCCTTTGCTTTTCTTCAGTAAAACAAATCTCACTGAAGTATTGAGATCATACACGAACACACAGATGCACTGTTTTCTTCACACAGAGGTCAGGTTTTCATTCTGAATTTGAAAGTTGCCTTTATTCAGGCTGCTGCAGTGTCTCTATCCTGTGCTTTAGCACTATGCTTTACTGAGTTTCTTGTTAAGAACATGGACCTGTTGGAGTGAGCCCAGAGGAGTCCATGAAGATGGTCAGAGGGCAGAAGCACCTCTGCTATCAAGACAGGCTGAGAAAGCTGGGGTTGTTCACCCTGGATAAGTGAAGGCTCCAGGGAGATCTTAAAGCCCCCTCCAGCAACAAAAAGGGGCTTGCAAGAAAGTTGGAAATGGACTTTTTATCAGAACATGAAGTTCCAGGACACAGGGGAATGGGTTCCCACTGACAGAGGGCAGGTTTAGATGGGACATTAGTAAGCAGCCCTTCCCTCAGAGGGGGCTGAGGCCCTGGCACAGGCTGCCCAGAGAAGCTGTGCCTGCCCCATCTCGGGAAGTGCCCAAGGCCAGGTTGGACAGGCCTTGGAGCAACCCGGGATAGTGGAAGGTGACCCTGCCCATGACAGGGGGCTGGAATGAGATGGGTTTTGAGGCCCCTTCCAACCCACAACATTCAGGGATTTTGTCATAATAGAAATCCTTTTTTCTGCTCCTTCCCCCTTCAAAAACACATGGCCAAAAATAGGAACTGTTTTTTGGAGCATGGTGAAAGACCATTAACTTAAATGTACTGCCTCCTAGGACATTCCTGCCCACAATTTTGCAAGAATCAGCCAAAATTTTATTTTCTATATACCAATACAGGTAAAAAATGCACATTTCATACACAACAATGTGAAATCTTTTGATTTATGAAAGAGCAGCAAGTATGTGTCTTATGTTTTAAGTGTATTAAGTAGCATCATAAAATAATAAGTTAATTTCTGAGCAACAGAAACGGTTATACGTCAACAAGCTGCAGAGACAAAACTGAAAAACATGTCAAGGAAAGTATTTAGGAAGAAGAAAGAATTGTCAAAGTCAAGAGGAAGAGAAAATACAGGGAGATCAAAAAGGATTAGTACAAAAGGAAAAGTATTAGATGAAAATAGAAGATTGCAGCCTTTCTCAGAAAATACAGCAATTTCAGGAAGAATCATCAACAACTAAAAAATGAACAGAGAGCAAAAACAAAAAGGAGGATAAGAAAGCAAGCAGACGTGAATTCTGCTTAGATCATACATTTGTGAGCTGTTCTAAGGTACAATCCTGGTCTCCTTTTCTAGGAGTGTTTTGTTTGGGTTCTTTTTGGTGAGGGGGACAGTTTATCCATGTGTTGTATGCTAACACCTCCACATAACGAGGACAAAAAGCCAGACAGGAATAGAAAGGCATATGATGCAGCAGTCAGATGCTGGGGAATTAGATAACCTCAAGACAGCTGGAGGGCTATCCAAAGATACATCTGAGATGCTTTTATGTTAAAAATCAACCACAAAACCATGCAAAAAAATCTCCCAAACCAAAACACAAAAAATCCCCCACAAAAGCCCCCCAAATAAAATCTGAATTTCAGTGAAGAATATGTCAGTATGCAGCAGTCAGACTAGGAAAAATACTGGTTATTTCTAAGCTATGAGAGAAAAACCAGTGTGCAAACAAAAAGCTCTCAGAGCAGCTACTGAGCTACTGACTTGGATAATTGGGACAGTCTTGATCCATTCATTTTCACATTGCTTTGAAAAGCAAGGATCAGCTGACACTTAACACAAGCAGTGGAAGAAAAAAGTAACAGCTTAAAGAGACTTCAGCCTCCTTTTTCCTAGAGGAAGCAAGAATTCACATCCACATAAGCTAAATATAGATCATCTCCACTTTTGTCTGTCCTAGGCACAGCAGTAGGGAAGCACTGAAGAGACCTAACTAAGCCTGATGGCTGCCAGAAGAGAAAAGAAAGAAAAAACCCAACAAAACCCAAAACCTGGGGTGGTTTCTGTTCACATATGCACCTAACCTCTCCAGAATTAAAGGCTGCAGTAGATACAACACATAAAACTGGCTATCATCCTCAAAGATGCCTCTTCATGAAGTAAACCAGGCTGTAATTAAGCTTCAATTTAAAAGAACACCCTTTAGCATAGGAGCAGCACTAAACGAGGCTCTAAATGAAAACCACTAAGAAATTTGAGGTGTTACAAACTGCCATTCTGATGGTAATAACAATCCTTGTATAAGATTTATGATCATGGTAACTCTTTATGCCAATAGTGTTGGATAGGGAAAGTTTAAGAATCTGTATTTCCATGGACAATGGATTTAATAGCTTGCCAGCCTGTCCTTCCCAAGACAATTCATGTGCTAGAAAATGTCAAGTCTGCGAGAGGACAGAAAAGTAAATCTTCACTGACTTTCTAATGGCATGGGTGCACTGCAATAGAGCAAAAGAAAATCCAATTCTGAGGGATACTTGGTGCCTGTAACTTTGAGGAAACACCTCTTAGTCTCTGCTACTAAAGAGCTGATACTTTAACAAGCACATTAAACCCCATCAATATGCTACATCTTCTTCACAACTCTTTTCCTGCCTTTGCTTTTTAGTACCTGTTTACACAGTTTAGAAATTATTTTATAGAAGAAAAAAACTGTCATTCCTTCCCTCCTCCTATACAAATCAGTTTGACTGATCACTGACCATGGCTACATTTGAGATTACAAACAGGTCTGTGGAAAGCATTCTGGTATCAGAAACCCTGAAGTGTCATGCCACAAAACTAGCTTGAAACAAGGAGGCATGTGACAGCAAACTGTTTTTTTGGTAGACCATCTTTAGAAATGTCTTCATTAGAATAAAACCAGAAGAAAAATGCATGAGGGAAAGATATCCTTAATCTATCCCATTATTCTTTGAAGTTCTAGAAAGTTTGTTGAAACACGCAGATCCTCCACCAGTTAGGAATAAGAAAAGATAAAGGGCCACCAGATTAAATAAATGCTGCAGCCATTTCCTGTTTGATCCTGGAGGTTTCTCATTTTTCAGACAAGTCAATAATAGATTGTTCTTTCTCTGCAGACTGGCAGAACTCGGTGACTATATTTAACAAATAGCTTGTGTGACCACTGACAGGTTAAAGACCTGAGACAGCTGCTCCCAGCGTCACTGCTCAGGATGCAGAGACTCAGGGGATTGTGTGATGCTGCTGCCTATCAAACACACATGGATGACGCTGGAACATTCAAGGTAAGGTTTTTATCAAGCTTAAAAACCTTTTGTGCAAAGGCACCGAAAAACTCAACCCTCACATGAGCCAACACAGATTCCAGAAGACATCAACAAAATAATCCTGTGTGCAAAGCCAGGAATGCCCCTGAGAATTCTGTGAACAGTGGGAAAGGGAATCTGCAGGGTGGGGAGGGGAATGACTGTGGAGCACAGGCATGGGCAACTTCCACACGCATTCCTGCAGCTGCTGGAGCTGCTGCCAGCATGACCAACAGGCCAGCATCTGATTATCTCCTCAAAGGTCACACTATTAATTATCATCCAGACTCCAAGGATATTAAATAACCCTGCAGAAAATTCACAACTCGTGTAGCACATTAGCTCCTTTTCAGCCCAAGCAAAATAGAAATGCCAAAATCTCGCATTTATTTGCTCTTAAGTAAAGATTATGGAAAATGATAGATTTTTAAAATAAATTTAGAAATAAATATAAGTGGTCAGATATCACACAAGGTATTTTTTTACAACAGCAACTGAAAATTTAACTGATTTAACAATTTAATATTTCTTTGCAATATTTAATTCAGAGCTTGTCTAGTCTGTCAGCACTCTAAACACTGATGCTGACTGCATAATTTTTAACATCTGCAAAACACATGTAAATTTAGATCTTCAGATATTCAAGAAATTCAGTATCATCCTTTCAAATAAAAATCAACAGATTCTTTTTAAAATTCACTTATATTAGGCAAAACTAATTTGAAGCAACATTTCTCCCTAGCTGGTAATTACTGTGCTTCTGCAGAAGCAGCCTGATACACAAGCCCTTTTAATTCAGCCACTTAAGTTTATTAATTAATTTACAGTGCTACAGTGTCCTCTTTAGTTTTAATTACACAGTAGATAATCTTGCTTAAAGAAAAGAAAGAAAAATCTAGTCTTTTGTAATATTTTTCATTTTCCATGCATGCTATACAGCCTATAGGAGCTTGCACAGTTATATAAATATACACACCTACACAAACCCAAAATTATATAGAAAATACACTTCAAAGTATATTCTTTTTTTAGCTACCAATTTTTTTTCTTTTTACTGGATAAGTGACATGATCTAAAGACTCAATAATCCCAACTGTCATTAAAACAGCACATGGTGCAATTCAGCAATATCAGGTGTCTGAACAATAATTTGGTGGTTTATTTACCTGGACCTCACTTGTCCTCTGCTTGATGGCATCTTCTTTCTCCTTGAGGTCTTGCTCTACATTATTCTTTTCCCTGGAAGACCAGCAAACAATGCAAGAATACTTAAGAACATCAGCTACAGCAGGTACAGTTATCCAGCCCCCTAAGCCTGTATCTCTCTTTAAATACATAGTGAAACATTAAACAAAAAAGATGTGAGGGATTTCTGCTTTCCAAATTATTTACAAGACAGAAGCCCACAGAAGTGTTCTGCATAAACCCCCCTGTATTTCCACCAGCTGCACTCCAGTGATAAGAATGGCTCAAAAATGGAAGGGGGCGGGTGGCAGAAATCAATGAAATACTGTCTCCAGTGATCTCACTGTTGCTATGGAGCACTTGTCTAATGAAAACTGCTAGGAAAAGTGGGAGGGATTGCATCAGATTCCATCTATTAACCCCTGCAAACACAGCCATGCCTATGCTCACAGCAGCCAGGGAACACTCCCACAGGCCAGCCGAGCCCATTAATGCCATTTGCCTGGCAGATTTTGGATTTGTCTCTCGGGAAGCTCAGGCAGGAGCAGGAAGGTTGGCTTGGCTTGCTGGAATCACAATCTGCTCAGACACTCCACACAGAGTGATCTGCTGTGTCATATCAAGCCTGCCTCTACAGACATTTATTCAAGTCTAAGTGACTGCTGATGACAGGGGAATTATCATCAATAAATTCTCATCAGTCAGACATAACAATAGCTTTGAGAAGGGGAACAAATGCATACAACTCAGAAGTGTTAGTGTTATTAAAAAATCATGAGTGTTCCTCTCTAGACAGCATATGGAATCTTTTCTGCTTTTGTAGATGTAGAAAAACATTAAGCATTACAGGTTTTACACAATTGCCTGTAGATATGTACTTTCATAAAGTCTCTGCTAATAAACCAACACACACACTGAAGTTAGAATTTGAACAATAAACCTAACATTTCTAAATGAAATACCATAGTGAAAAGCTATTAGATTGTACTACCGGTATAAACCGAAATTATGAAAATTCATATTGATTGTTAATCAATCTAAAACTATTTATTTGTTTAGTCTTATTTGATAAAGAAGAAACCGTTTCTGTGTTGAAGTAAAGCAGGTCTACTCCAAGCTCTTTACTCAAACTGAGAAAGTTTTAGTTTACTACTAAACCACACACAATGGAAAATAAAAAGAACCTAGATGTCAGATCTTAAATTAATATTTGCTCTGACAAATAATTACTATAGATTATACTCTGCTATTATTTTTCTCATTATCTGATTAAAGAACAACGCCCTGATTATGCCCAAAGGGTAAGTTTAAATGGAAGGAAAAGGAAAGATGTGGAAAGAGGAACTTTGAAGATCAAGGCTAATTATTCTGTTAAGTGTGATCCTTCAAAATAAAGGATCACGCTTCCATAAAATTAATAAAATAAATTTCATAAATTTTATAAAATTTGTCACTCTCCGTTCATCAGAAACTGGAAATTCTAAAAAAATCTTTACCTTTTCAATCAAAGCTACAGAACACTCCTCTAACTCAGTAAGCATCTGTAGCATAGTTGTACTTAGATATTTAAAGCATTTCAACACAGGCTTGAAACAAGCTCTGTTGCTTGTTTCTGTTGCTCTGTTGCTTTGGCTTCCACAACTTCCCAAGAACAAAGGTCTCAGTAAAGCACTTCTACAGATCTATGTAAAAATCAGGCTGAAAAATACCTTCAAACCCTCAAACACCCATCAACCACAGCCAACATTAATATATATTCTTCTTGACTGATGATAAAAAAGAGTAAGAAAACAAATACTTGTTATTTTTCCTGCTGGGGTGGGAAAAATGAGAAAGAAATAGAACTGCATGCAGGCATGTTTGGTTAATATAAAGCGTTTATACATTCCTGTCACTGATGTGCCTGAGTCTGTCAGAGATGCAGATCACTTCCTTTGTATTTCAGCAAAAGCCAGGTACCTAAATCCCTGCAATCTGGACTAAGCAACAGGATACAACACCCAGCCACTGGCACTTCCATGAGCCAAATAAGAGCACAAACAATGAATCAAGTGAAAGAAGTATTGTCAGGCAGAACAAGAAAAGCTTAGGCAGCAGTCTCAGGCAAAGGAAAACAATCTGAATGTATATAGTCTACACATAACACATCCCATCCTCCCCCCAGAAATGCCTCTTTCTTTCAAAGAAAAGACAACACAGAACTACTTAATTCACTAATTCTTCTGAATATCTCCATTTCTTTTATAAACTATTTGCTATGCCCCTTTAGGGATGTTCAGCAACTGAAAGAACAAAAAAAAAGTAATAAAATTGATTTGCTGGATATGACTGATTTCCTGGATCATAAAGTCCTTACTACATCCAAAAAACAACCCAAAAAGAAATGTGGTCATGCCAACAAAGGACACTTGTAACCAATTCAAATCAATTTTTGAAAGCAATACTATTTCCCTATGCATTTTAATAGCAGTCAGGTAGGGAGAACCTCATCTCAAATAAACTAAAAGCAATGACTAATAGATGGTTTCTCCCATACAGATGCTTCATGATTTACCAAAACACTAAATTTAATACTAATTTGTCAATGGAGTAATTTATAAATGGAAGCCAGCACATTGCAAATATCTGTCCCCGTGTCAGCAGAGGCGTTCAAGCCAAACATTCAACCCTGGCTGGGCTGAATCACCTTAGATGCAAAAGTGAAAAAATCATAGTTCTTTCCCATAATAAGATGATGACTACTCACAGAGCTGGTAGCATTATCTATACTCATAGTTGCCCAATATTTCTTATTTTCACATATATCTGTAGTTGTGGAAATTCCTAATGTCGTAGTAATTCAGTTTGGCAATACCAGAAAAAATGCCAAGGGTTTGCCTTGCATTTGTTACAACCTCTTCTGCTGCAACAGCTCAGTTACTTCCAAACCAGAGGTTGAGAAGAAACAATCTATCCTACATTAAAGTTCTTTGCTAAAGTAATGTAGATCTCTGAAATTTGAAACAAAGGTTTGATGCAAGCGTATGGCAGGGAGAGATTGTCCTGTTTTTCTGGGGGTTGTTTTGCTCTTTCATTGCTATCAAGATACTAACTCACCAGCTTTATGGTCCTTTTAATCTGATTTATACTTCAAGATGATTTAAATGTTGCTATCCAGCATATGTGAAGGATGACATCTCTGGTGAGATATCCCAAGTTAAGCCCAATTACTCCTCTGCTTAAAGAGGAATGTACTGATTCTTCAATCAGTAAAGACTGAAGAAATTCCATGAATTTGTGGGCCAACACTAACTTTGAAAGCAAAAAAGTAAAGCTGGGTTTCCTGGGGAAGGAAAAGGTTTTATGGCTTGCAAAAGAATGGTCCCGCCTCCCACCATGTTGATCAAGAAAAGGTTTAAATATCTTTCTAAACATGTAGTGCAACTGAAACAGAATTCAGAGACAGCAGTGCAAACAGGCTCAAAATGATGCAAGTTCCACAATGTCCCAAGGCAGATCATTCCCCTCACCAGAGGGGTATTATCCTCCCTAATAAGTGTTCTGCATTTTATTCTTCATCCAATCCTCAACCCCCACCTTCCTGACATTGTATTTATCAAAGTAAGATTAACAAAGCTATTGACCACCAGACCTCTTTCCCACACAAGCTGCTGAGCCACAAAGACATCACCTCTGTATTCTTTACTCAGTCTCTCCAAAAGCTGTTCTCCACACATTGTCATTCTTTTGGCCACTTCCTCTCCTGCCTTGTTTTTTGTTTTGTTTTGTTTTTTGAAGTGCACTTCAAAAATAGATTAAAATTCTATTACTGGGTCTCACAAATGTAGATCTTGGACACTTCTCAATGGAGTCAGAGACTAGAAGTCTTAAATATTGAGTCCAACAGCAAAAATCTATCTTGTTTAATAATGAACAAAAATAACTTCAGCTTAAATTACATTTTTATATGACAACTATCAAGTCTGAAAGTGTAATTCACCAGTGGTAACAGAAATGTGGATTCATCAAAGATTAAAAGTTTCCTACATTTAGCACACTGTTAATCCCCATCTGTTCTGAACCTCTAATTCATATCAAAGTAAATTCCCCCTTTCTAAAAACACATACACATTAAGAGTTGCCTCTGCCCTTCTTCAACAATCTAGTATCATTCAATTTAAAATAATTGTCAATGTATATTTTCCCCTCAAGAAATGGAAGAAGTGACTTTTTCAGGGCCATGGTTCCTTCATAACTCACAGAAAGAAAAGAAAACCAGACTCAAAACAGCCTGGCTTGCATGTTAAGCTGCAAGTCCACCTACTGAAAACCAACTTCATCTAAAAATTCATGCCAGACAACAATTTATTTCCTTCTAAGATACCAAGAGTAAATATACACAGTTGCAAATCCTATTTCAGGTTAATAAATGGGTGTCAAAAATTGGAATTAATATAACCTGAAGAACAGTGGAGGCAGAGCAGAGAGAAGCAAGGAGGCAGTGGGAGTAATAAGAGAGAATAAGCAAGTGAAATGAAAAAATATTTATGCATTTAGGAAACAGACTGTGCTCTGACACACTGCCAAGTTAAATCATTCCCACAAGTGACATGAATTAGAGAGGCAGATTTCACCATGACAAAGCACCCGCACTTAAAAAATAGGAAAATTTACTGTTCTTAATAGAATTTTCAGTGGATTTATGATAGTAATAAGAAAAACACAGAAGAAAAATACCTGCTGTCTCAAGAGCATTACCAAGACTATAGAAATTATATGAATTCGATTTTCTTAGTCACTTGAAGTCATCTTAATTATCTTAGAAATAATTAATGGGATCCAAGTGTCTGCAGACATCAAAACAATTTTTCTCAGTCCAGCAGTTTATTTTATTACACAAGAGCAGCATCCCCATCTTTACCCCCATCAAAACCCTAGCAGAGGTCCATGCACAGTCATCTTCCCACTCCCTATCCTGCATACTTACTGATTTTTTCCACCTCACTTCCTTACTGCCACCAAAACCAAGTCCTTGGAATGCCCTCTACAAATAAAAGGTAATTAACACCATGTATATATGGTTCCAGCATCCTAAAGATTTGCTCCATTCACATCTACCAATAAAGATGAACAATGGAGAATATTTCCAGGTCAGGTTGCCGAGATACAGAGCTCTCTGAAACACAACCTGAGGACACAAGGGACAGACTCTTCACAGTCCTGCTGTCATTGAGTGCGCTCCTGTGAGTGAGCAGAGAGCAGCAGTGTCACACAGTACTACAGGTATGCTGACCCTTTACTCAGCAGAGTACTACCACCTGCATTCAATTGTTTTTTAAAAAACAGTAAACAGCACAACTGAATCCAAGGCAACTTTTGCTGTTCCTCCCTTACATACCTCTGCAGGTCCACAATTTCATTGTTTAATGTATCAAGTTCTTTAATTGCAGAAAAATCTGCTACAGAATTCAGTCCTTGAGTACTCTGAAAGATAAAAAATAAACACTGTTAGTCTAGAGCTTATGCTATTCAACTATTACATTCATTTTACTTTTTGTGGCAACATGAGCTGTCCTCTTGTAACGACTGCTGGTAGCATTGTATTTCAAACCTTCAATCTTAGAAACCCCTAAAGAGTACAGATGCTGTAAGAGCAGAACACATCACACAGCCAAAGCATGGAGACAGCTCAATTCAAAGACAGTTTGTCTCCTGCACACCTTTGAAGACACCTTCCACAAAAGCACAGGACTACCTAATCATACAAAAAAAAACATAGACTCTTGCTCTAAAATAAGTCTCATCTTACAGCTAATATTTAGGTGGTTGTCTAGCATCCACTTGAGAGAGGTTTGCTTACTACTTTTATATTTCTTCACCTTGGTGATCCTCATGTTGCAGAGTACAGACACTGATTTGCAAGGATTTAAGGGATACTGAGCTGGTTTGACAAGAAGCTCCAGAGTACTCACTGAAACTTTGATAATACAAACTCACAGGGTAACTTACACCCATGAGCTCCCATTTACTTAATGTCTTCATAAGACAATAACTGTAATACAAATTATTTATTTCAGGAAAAGTACACATAAATGGATAGAGAACAAATGCTGAAGACAGAAATTACAAATGCTGTAATTATTCTTCTGTGCCTTGTCACAACATGAACATGCTTAGAAAGCAACAGCCATTGTAGGTACCTCCTATAAATACATCAGCTCCTTCAAGTCTTGAATAAAGTCATCCAGGACAAACACCACATTCCAAGGACAAGTGTATACATATAATTTTAAAAGGCAAATGATACCCCCAAAATAACACAAAAGTTTTTAAATGTTTAAGTTTCTCTACAGATAAAGCAAGATAATATTAATTATGTGCTTACTCAAACTGATACTCAGGGGAAGGAAAAAACCAAGAGCTATGAACACCTAAACTGTGAGCACACTGTGGCTGGGAGTATTATTCAGCAGAGCTACAAACTATTCATGCGTATTTTACTAGCACAAATGGTATGAACTGGGATTAAAAAAAAAAAAAAACCAACCAAAAAAAACCAACCAAAGAACCACCTATATAGCTATTCTTAAACTGGTTAGTGTACAGCTTCTCAAACGGATAAACTAGCTATGATGTTTAATCCTGCTCTACAGAATTACACAGGAGTTTTGCAGTGTTGGTCCTGGCATTCCAAGGGGAGTTTTTAGTTCTCCTATGACAAGGATAGAAGGAACATGTGGAAATATTAGCTGCAAAAAAAATTTTTTTCCAGGCTTCCTTCTTTCACCAGTTAAAGAAATTCTGCACACTAATGCCAGCATCAAACTTGAGGAAAATGTAGTTCAAATCTTATTTTCAATTGCTCAGAAGAACTGGTTGGGGGCAGGAACATAAAAGCCAACATTTTTTAGCTTCAATATCCATATTAACAAGGACAAGTTAGACCCATAGGCTGCCATTACTACACTGTTACATGCATGCAAAACAGCACCTCCAGTTTTTAGCTCAAAGTTGTAGTAAAAGGAAATTCCCATTAAAATTCTTTGAGAGGACCTTACATAAAGGTTTAGTTTTTATGGCTTGCCATGCAAGTGGTGACTACAAACAATTCCGGGTCAGGAAACACAGCAACAAGTTTTAAACCACAGTGGAATACAGTTTTACTTACTGATATTTCTGCTATCACCTTTGTATGGGTCAACACAGAAAATGAAGCCTAAGTTAGTGTTTTGGTTCTTTTTTTTTTTTACCATGTATGTCACATCACAACAAGAAAACCAGCAAAAAGCCTATCTCTGCCTACTGACTCAATCCTTTGAGTTCAAATCTTGAGCAATGATCTTGGACAAAAAGTTCTTTCATATCAACAAAACAATATCTCTTTTGAAAAAAAGCTCAAAATGAGCTAAAGGTTCAGCTCAATTTAGTAAAAAAACCTCTTGTTTACAGAGGATTTACAGAGCTAATTGAAAGTTACCTTACCTTTTTACACAATGTTCTTACTCATCACTTAAGTTAGTAATGAAAAAAAATCACACTGATGTCTTTGAGAGTTTTACAAAATCAATTTACATCCACAGAACAGCAGTAACCAACATCTAATGCTTTCTAATAATTCAATTTTCATTGATATCTTTAGCAAACCCGTGGCTATTATTCATAATGACAACTGCCAAATGCCACATTGGGCTACTACTCTGTCACCACTTCCCCTGCAATTCCACCAGGAAGACACAGCATTTCTGTTTTCAGTTCAAGCAGCCCACAGGAGCAGCCCCAGAGGTCTGGGCTCAAGGGAGAACCTTGGGCTTACTCTGGATGAACAATGCTGGAAATCAGCAACACACGGTGACACCTGAGAGAAGTGCTGAGCTCATTCATGACTATGTGAGAGTCTTAGGAGGATGTTTCATTATTAAACCAACAGACAGTAAATATTAGAAAAGCAAAGTTTCTCTAACCTTGAGAAAGCAGAGTTAACAAACTGACAGAATAATAAAGATGAAAAGCAGAGTGGTGCAGAATGGAAAAAACAGCCCAAACTAGAAAAGAGACATAGAAAGGAAAGCAAACATACAAAAAAGATTAGTAGAGTTGCAAATAAAGCAAATACTTTTTAAAAACAGAATGTAAAAACAAATTAGATACCAGTTACAGAAACTCAAAAAAGTAGTGTCAAATTTTGAGTTTCATTTTTCCAGGTGTGAATTTTTCATTCTGTTTAAGAAAGTTGTAGAATTAGGTCAATGTATTGCACAACCAAGAAAAGGTAATTCACATCACACTTCATGATGTGTAAAATACGTAAGAATTTGTGATGATCTCTACCATTCTGATAGCTACAAACTGAACTGCTGAGGTACAGCTAACTCCTGAATTAAGATGGATGGCAACCAACAGACTAGGGAGATATGAGGTATAAAATGGAGGACCATTTACTTTTGAAATTTTAAATAACTCTAAACCTTTAGTTCACATTGTTTCCAAACTTTTTAAATAATATTGATGTAAAGTGGTAACTGAACATATTAGGAGAAAAGCACTAAACTTGTGCATGTCACTTCAGATGGAAACTCAAATTTCTTTAAAATGACAGCAGAAGGATTATTCTTACAAAAGAGAAAATAATGCTTTCCCAACATAAGATCTCTCTGCTTGGTTGGCAGGTGTAATAAATGACAGCTTCATTTTGAAATATGGATGGAAGGTTTTTGCCAATTCTTTGCACCTAAGATTTGCTTTCTTCCTGATATAATGATAAATTTAAGGTATGCCAGCACTCGAGGTTGCTTCTTGCGTAGCCTTTGAAATTAACATTATTTGTTTGAGATGTACATCAAAAATGCCAAACCCATCCTTACCTTCTGTAAACTGACACCCCTGTCTGAAGGTGGAATCATCTCTGGAGTCAGAGCCTGAGGAGGATCAATGCCCTTTGTTAACTTCTGATTAATTAAGTGGAAAGCCAAAGCAAACTGTTCCTTTGAAAGCTTCCCACAGTCCTTGGTGTCACAGAGAGCCCTGTACAGAGATGCACATAAAAAAAAAAAAATTCCTCATTTCTCCAAGTACAGCCCTATACAGTGTAGTTCAGTGTCATTTACAAATGTGAAAATTGCTAGGGTGTATCTCCTCTTCTAAAACAAAACTACAGGCATAGGAAACAGCACTCAAACACACATAGCCACTTTCACTTTGCATGTTGAGGCCCACAGCTGTGCTCTGGTGAAAAGCACAACCAGGGCTGCAGGTCAGTAGCAACACTTTCAGAACCAACACAAGTTTATTTACATTTTCCTGATTTCCCTAAATTAGCAGTTGTGTTAACCATAACTTGGGGAAAAAAATAACCTGTTCCTATCAACGTGCCTGGCAACAGTTCACAGCACAGCATTAAAATGCACTGGGTGCAATGGAGGCATTTCTGTAATGAATAATGCCAAATGAATGCACAGCTGTAAGCAAAGACGTGTTGTAGAATGAGATGGGACATAAATCTTGCATGCTAACCATTTTATAGAAACAATTCCCTTTCCCTGTATATGAGTAGGATCAGTGATCAGATACCTGTAATGATGTGATGATTCTTCAATACACACAGATAGCTGAAGTGCAGTATTTTTAACAGTCTGTGTTCAGGCATAAACCTGATTTCCACCCATTTCTGTCCCAGAGCAGAAGCAAGTAAGTTACCACTGGTTATACAAAGGCCATGCTATTATATACAGAAATGTCACTTCCAGAAATGCCAGCAGAGCAGGAAGTGAGAACTATGCCATCATCTACACAGCTGTCACAGGAAAAAAAACCTACCAGATATGTGCAAGGAGAGTAGAAGGCAGTCCTGTTTTCAGGAACAGTTCTCTGGCTTCCACACCTGACACAAATCCATCCATGTCCTTGTCAGTTTTCACAAAGATCTCATCGTACTTAATTTTGTCTGCAGGCGATACAACCCACTGAAGGGGGGTGGGTATGGAAGGGAAAAAACCAAAACCACAACACTAAGATACAGGCAAATTCTGTTTCCAGTTCAGACTTACATAATTCAAGGTCTACAGCACAGATTTTAACAAGGTGATACAGGTGCTTAGTTCATGAACCAGTTTTATCCTCCTAAACAGACATGCAGAGATCCTCAAGCAAATGGACAAGCAGAAGCATTTCCCTCAGTAAAGCACCCAGGCTGCTTGGTGCTGCTCTGCCCCTTTGCCTGTACAACAAAGGCATTCCTTGGAAGTTGGATCTCCTCCCTCATCACTGTGCTCAGTCACAGTCCTGCTGACTGTCTGGCTCTATCAATTTTATTCCCCTTTACACAGCTGGGAAGCTTTAGCTGGAGGGACTGGAGAGCTGCTCAAGCCCAGGTTGTTAATAGTTGGGCACACTCTCAATTGAAGAATTTACATCTGAACAAGGTAAAGATGGGAATTAGAGCCACTTCTGCTACTTGAGCAATGTTTCACAACATTCAGCTAATATAAAGATGTTTGGGGTAGAGTGAGAACAGCTTCAAGTGCATGTATGGATACTAACTAATTTCAGTGCACACAGACAATTAACAGATGACTCCCAAATGGTGCTGTATACAAACTCACCCACAATGGCACTGCTTTGCAATACATACAGCAAGACTTACTCTCAAGGCAAGGAAATTTCCAGGTTAAAACTCTGGCACCTCCTAAATTAAGATGCCAGTTTCTTACTGATTAATCAAAAAAGGGTACCAAATGTTCAAGTTGCATTAAGTACCACAGTTCTTACCTTAAATACCATTATCAATTTTTTCTCTTATTTTGAATATATAAGTTATATATAAGCTACTTGGAAAGACATTTCCCAACTTCTGAACTCTAAAATGATGTCATTAAGTAAGATGCCTGGGGAGTGTAAAAGGTATCAAGTTGCCCAATAATCACATTCAGAACAAAAATAAAATCTCCTGTGTCTAGGTGGATGTGCTGCACCTTTTGTTTTCTTTTCCCACTGCTTGCATTTATCTATTCCATTTTAATTCATGTCTTCTCCAAATTGCACACATGCACACACATACATGACTGCCACAATCTGTTTTAAGAAGGTGTCTATATTTCAATCAGTCTTCATTCAGAAAACTGGTGCTCTGCAGATGCGTACCTGGACCACTTTTTTTTTTTTTTTTTTTTTTTTTTTTTTAGCTTGAAATAATTTGTTCTAAAAATTATTTTTTCTTCAAAATCTGTACTAAATATTTTTTATCCATTTGTTTCTATCTGAAGGAATCTAGGAAAAGTAAAACAGGGTAAATTTTACACCTCTCCATCTGGTCTTCCCATCAGCCTCCAAAAACCAATCAACAACCTGTATCATGTCTCTTCATACAGGCAGTCTCTGAAGCACAGAGCTAAGAGCAGAAATCTTCTAATCCCAGTAACTTCAGAACTGTACCTGTGTTAATGGTGTTTTGGCAGCTAAAATGCCCACAGGTGGCAATGACTGATGAGACTCTTTGGTTGAAGATGGTATTAATGGCATTGCTCCTGGAACACTGAGAGGTTTTCTCTTGGATGGTGGCACCAAAGCTGCAGGCAAGGACATTGGCACTGGTTCTTTCTCCAAAGCACAGTATACCAAAAACATGGCCTAAACAAGAAAAAACAAAGTGTGTGGATATAAATATATTAGAAATACATATACATATATTTATAGAGGCTAAAGAATTAATTATAAAATAACTTTGTAGCATTTTTTCATTATGTTTCCCCTTCACAAGCCCCTCAATTGATACAGCTCCTTGCCTTCTAAATTGTGTTTTTCATCACCGATTTCTTTTGAGGATCAGTGCTTAGCAAGTAAAGTTCAGTATCTTTTAGAACATTAAAATAATTTTCCAAGCTTGTGCCAGTACTTGTGGAATTTTATTTGAGAGAAGACTTCAAACACTTTAATTTATCACCATTTTTCCAGAAATTTCTCCACTTAGCATTTAATTCTTTTGTTGTGGGCATCTCTAATTTAACACTTCTTACATTATTTCATAAGTCCTAGCTTTAATAGTGGTAAAATTCTAACTTACTACAAACTTTCTACTTCTTTACTACAAACTTTCCTCAAGGATACCTTGAAGCATTCAAGTTCTATAAATACCAAAGATTAAGGTAAAACCCAGTGCAAACACTCAGTGTCTCATGGGACAGCAGATCTCAGGTGTAAGTTTTTAATGGCTCATCTAACCCACAAAGAAAGTTACTGCTGTGTACTGAGACACATTCAACAAACTGACAGAAATATTAAACAGCACTAAAACTTGATTAAGGACTCTGAATAAATATAATAAATGAACCACATAGTCAGAAATTAATGCACAGTGCATCTATTTTAAACCCTGCCATAAGGCTTTCAAAATCCCAAGAGGCAGAAGATACTTACAACTGCAAACTCATCTCGATCCAACATTCCATCATGGTCAATATCACTCAACTCCCACACCTACCAATAAAAAGCATAATATAGGCATCTTTGACTAAACTGCAGCAGTTTCCTACTTAAAACCTTATTAAAAACAAACACGAGAACAGTCTCTTTCCACCATAGCTCAAGTTCTATTAACAGCATTAGTTTGCAGTGAGCAATGTAAATTCATATAAACCACACAAAGGCAGAGGGATTCTTAAGTTGGAGACAGAGGCACCCTGCCTGACCCAAGTGTTAAAGAGTTCACATAACTGATAAACTGCAGCTGGAGGTGATCTATCCAAATAGCAAAAGAAATTTTGGTTTTCAGTTCAAAAGTCACACTCTATTAAGATCTTATTTACTAGTTAGTAAATCTTCAATTTGAAAAACAGGTATTGCTGAGTGCAGCACAGGTATTACTTGTGAACTTGTGACAATTAAAAAGAAAGATATTCTTACTCGTCCTAAGATATCCACTGGCAGTTTTGAGTTGAGGAGCACAGGTTTCACCTTATCCCCTGACAATAGTCCATTCACTGGATTTAGGCTGTCAAAAATAGAATCATACTTGACCTTGTCTTCCAGCTGCAGGGGCAGAAGAAAGGTATTACTTACACAGTCACAATCATAGCCTGAGAAGCAGAAGTTCTTTCCAAAGTGTTAATTTCCTTAAAAAAATACACATTGCAGTCCCTGATGCTTATAAGAAAACATTAAAAAGATACTATTTTTAAGCCAGAGACTCACCAAAACCCTGTGAGATTTCTTCTTCAATTATTTTCATCGCTTCATGGGACAACCTTTTTTTTTCTTTATTTTAGATTTCTAAACATGAAGAGATTTCCCAAGAGTCAAGGGTTCTTATTAAATTAGGTCTATTAGCCCAATTACTAATTTGACAGGAATGGTAACTATCATACTTTAGAAATGTAGCATTATATTTTTCTAAGAAAGACAGGTTTTCCTGCAAACCAGAAAACAGTTCTAGGCAACAGCTAATATTTAGTTTACCTTTACAGCCCATGGTAGATCACTTGATGCTGTTCCACTGAGTAGCAAAGGACTGCTAGTATCAGTCTAAGGAAAAACAAGGCAAAAAAACAGCAGACACATTAAAATACATGATTCTCACTTTGCAAAGCCACCCTCTTATTTGAGAAGCTGCTTCTCAAAGCCAGAACTGCATTTTAGTCATTAATACCAAAATTTAGAGCACAAAATTTAAAATGTTTATCCCATTAAGGACAACACTAATAGAACGAATATCACATATCTCCAAATTATACATTCAAATCCCCACTAGAACATGTAGCAGCTTATTCCAGGTTGCTTGATTTTTTTCCCTGTTTGCCCTACAACATCACCCTCTGAAGTGTTTTGTATTTATACCAAATCTTCCTAAATTTTCACTTTAAAGCAGTTCTTAACAATATGTTCAATTAAAAATGAAATCTTACAAATCTTGGTGGAGGAACAGGCAAGTTAAGACTACTCAGGGAAACATCCAATCCATTCTGTGCACAGGCTACAAGTCGAAGAGCCACAAAAAATTCCTACAGGGAAAAAAAAGAAATTTTGAAGGGTTTATAGTATGAAAATATATATTATATATGAAAAAATATATTATATATGAAAATAATTTTAAAAGATAGTAAAATTTCAGAAGTGAGAGCTTTTCTAGTATTAGTATATATATGTTGCACATGGCTTCAAAAGGGTTCAGAAAGCGACAGAAAGCAGCAGCTTCATTCCTCCAGTAAGAAAAAGTTTGCAACTAATTTTCCAATAATTTAGTAATTTCCAAGAATTTAGTCATTTCAGCCAGTGTAGTCAGTCCTCAGCACTCAGTTCTTCTATAACAGAACAGTGAAAATGTGAAGTGTAATTGCAGCTGTTTATCTTGGAGGAACTGAGCTGATCCCACAAATGGTTAATGGAGTAGAGAAAAACAGAAAAATGAACCAGAAAAAGCCAAAAAAAACCCCAAAATTGTTTGGTAGACATTACAACCTCCTCCTCTTCCTATCATGGGAAGAGGCAGTTCCCTCTCCATGGACTGTTATTTATATTTCAAATCAAACAGCAACACACATTAGAACTTGTGGTACCACCACTGAGATGTAAATTTTGTCCCCATACTGCTCATTGCCACAGCTTGGGAAGGACAACTCCAAACAGAATGTATCAATGTCAAGTCCACCACACTTAAAGTAATAATAATTTTGAAGATTTTACAAGAATTTTAATTTCTGCATTGTTTCCTACAAGATTATGAGGAAAAAGTCACCTTCTTTGTAAATGAAGTACGCTAAACCTTAAATTACTTCTCAGCAAATTTTTGCACAGCTACACATCAGCCCATTTAAAAGCCTGGAGAAAAGCTGATGAGGCAGCTGAAGGCTGTTTAATTTATTGTAGCTTCCACTCAAATGGAAATTACATAGCCAGTCAAAATTAGAAAAAAATCTGTTAGAAAAAAACTGCTTTCCTGAACCAAAAATTTCTATTTTCATCTTGTTTCAAGGCTGGGCAATGGTCAGAGCCATACACTACATAAATAATCATACCTGTTTGTTCAGGATACCTTTGCCATCAGTATCAGCTAGGTCCCAAATCTGAAACATAAATATCATAAAGGGTTCAGCTCTTCAGAGGAAGCTGGCAAGTCATCGCTCCATTATAATGGACTCTTGGAGGAAAGTTCATGTCTTGACTTTCATGATAGCACTTAATTGTTGTGACAAATTTAAATATTGCAATAATTTCCATGACTGGATAGAAACTATTGCAGCTATTGGATAGAACAACTGAAAACAAGTTAGGGAAGATAATGTATCCTGTAGTACTACTAAGTATTTTAATTTAAACAGGATATTAACTGAAGCAAGAAGACAGGATAATTAAATAATTTTTTTAATTCCATTAAATACCTTTCCAAGTACCAAATCTGTCAATCCAGACTTTTTCAAGAAAACAGCTGCATCAGAAGCTAACACTCTTCCAGCATTAGCAGAATCAACCTGGGGGAGAAAAAAATCCTCACATGACAAACTGGCTTTTGAATTGATGCCATCTCTTTACACAGCTTCTCAAAAAGCTACTGAAGAAGAATGCTCAAGCTAACAGTCACTTTGAGGACAATCTTCTGAACCTATCTAATTAGCCCCTCCTAATCACAGGCTTTTCTTCTTGCTGCCATAAAAACACTGATTTTTAAGAACAGAGAATTCCAGGGCTCGATTACATTTCATTGTCCAGCTCTGTATTCATTACTGTTAGGGTCTGAAAAAGAAGGCTCTGCTTTGAAGATACCTTTACCACCACAGCAGAGGGAAATACTCCCTAAAGTGAAACCTATTTACCCAGAGAAGAAGTTGGTGATACTGGCAGAATACCAAGCAGTATGCATTTCTCCCTGGATCAATAGAGAGATCATTAAAATAGAGAGTTATTCAAGTTTTTAACGAAATCTTTTCAAGTGGGAAAAGAAAGAAGGAAAACTTACATCACCTACATGGTGATGTAAGGGCAAGGGAAATAGAGGAGAAGCTGAGAGTCCTTGAGAGCCTAAAGAAAAGGATTCTTAAAAAGGGCACAGTATGGAAACTAGGACTAAGGGTATCTTCAGTCAATTCAGACTGTCAGCCTTACTACACCCCACAGGTAGGGTGATGATGATGACAACTGAACCATTTCCAGTCTCACAGCTTTGTGTTTAAACAAAGGCCGTATTCAATATTGTGTTTGGAACACAAGACCAACTGCCCAAGTTCACAGCTGCAGCACACACAAGGTGCTCAAAGCTAACAGCTTCCCAAGATGGGATTAGAGCTGGCTCCTGAAAGACTGTGGGGAATTTATAATTTGGAAAGAATGCTGCAGCAGTTGTCTGTAGATACTTCTGAAAGGGAACAAAACACTCTGAAATCCCCAAATCCTAATTTAATATAAAAGTGAAAACATCTATTGTTTTTAACATAACCAGGATGATTTTAATTAGGAGAGGGCTTTTCCTGTAACTGAGGATGTCCTGGTCAGAGCAATAAGGTTGCAAACAGTACAGTCCAGCAGCTAGGCTAATTGAGTTGTGGGAGAGCTGTTCATCTAAAGGCACAAAGCTGCCAAGACAGTGCATCAAACCCCCTTTTAAATAGTGAAGTCGACCTTGCATGTAACACAACAATCTTGGCATCCACTCAGAAAACCTCCAGCCCAGCATTCCTCCTTCAAGAAAGTCACAGAACACCACAGTATCAGCTGTGTTTACTTTTTAGTTCCCCAAGTCCGAGCCAGAGGAAGGTGACTTTAAGGGATTTAAGCAGGATTCTTACTTAACCCAACACTGATACTAGTTTCTTTTTGTACAATTAATTATCAAACCCTTAGTAACTAATTTTTTAAAGGGCTGATTTCAATTTCTTTACAAATTACTGAGCCTTGAATGCTGGGGTGGTGTTACTTATGTTTGATTATTGCACTGGGATGATTGCTGGTGTTTGTCAGTAACACACCAGCCTGGCAGAGCTTTTCCCCTGATGTGTAAGAAATAGTTTCCACAGCTGCATCAACCAACAACCCCCTTGTTACAGCCTGTCTCTTGCAGGACCAGGAATTACCAAAATTTACAAACATATATCTGATGTGATTAGGGTTACAGTGAGAAGTGCTTCAGTTCAGAACTCAACAAGAATTCAGCACTGATTCCCTGCTGCACTGCATCATGTGATTAAGCAATTTCCTAGTGCTTTATGACAGGTATTTAAGTTTATCCTTTAACCTCACCCTGCTTTGAGTCAGTCTATAAAAGGTTAAACAGAAATGTATTTATTTGAAAGAAAAGAGTGCCTATTGAAAGGTTGAGGTTCCAATCTCATTCTAAGTACAAAGGGCAGGATTTACACCCATTTCACAACACACCTTTTGCCAGATGAATTCCTTTAAGTTTGTGATAGACCTGGAAGTGTACTCAGAATCAGCCCTGTTCCAGGTGATGAATTTATTCATATAAAAGCACACTCCACAAGCACCATAAGACAAAGTGGGAAATGTCTCTCTCAAATTCTGTTCTGAAAGCTGACATGTCCTTATCTGAGGAATGGAAGGGAAAAGTTCCCTAGTGGAACTGAAAGTCTTCAGACACGTTTGAAAGCTCCTCTTTAGGAAAAATCCTTGCAGCAAAGAATTCATCTGAGCAAGTCAGAAAAATAATCCTCTGGAAAACAAATCCACTGGCACCACTTCACTAACAGTAACATCATGTTTAAGGAATCCCTGTTCCTGTACACTACTGAAACCACTGGACAACAAATAGTGCTCTAGTTTCACTAGGCTATGTATTCCAACAAATGGAAGACACTGACTTAGTAACCAGTATCACATTTGTGCTTCAATTCTGTTCCTTTATCTGAGTTTCTTGAGCAACTGCAGTCAGGAGGAAGAGAGAGGCAGATGGCAAAGGTGGTACCTGACAGTGAAAGTCAGAGCTGAGCCAGGATGTGCAGAGCAATCAGTTCCCAGCCTTTTCTTGTGCCCTTATAATCATATCTCATTATATTGGTTTTTAATCCAATGCCTAGAGATAAGCACACAGTGGATTTGTCCATCTGAAGGAAAATTTTCTGAGGGTGATACATCTCCTTCAGCCACCAGGAGCCATCTGAACTTAGATCAAGGTAAACTCTCTCTTCTTGTTTAGCAATTTCAGATCTGCTGTTCTCCTGCAGTGGAGAAAATCCCTTACGAAAGTACAATGGCAAGCTCAGACTTCAGGCATCATAGATTGATACACCTGAACTGCTGTTTTTTGCACTTGATAATGGGACTAATCTTCTAAGCACAATCCAAAAATAGGGCATGGATAGAAATCATGGCCTGGTCCCTTCCCCAGCACATAAGTTTACATTCTGCTGTTGACTTACAGAAGAAGCTCCTAAATACTGAGGCCATATACACCATAACCTGTCTTAGGACAAACAGACAGGAACATTAACAGCTGCACAAAGGGAAAAAAAACTTCCTATAAGGTTTTTTACAGGGTTCATCAATTACTGATCAGGTGCATTACAAAACAAAATTATTTTAAATTGTTTTATACAGCCAAGTAGTTTAACTTCCTTGAAAGCTTTTACATTACATTTGTACAATAAAGTACAGTATGTACATGACAAAAAATACTGTTACTACAGAATAGGTGAAACAGCTATTTTTAAAAAAAAGTTGTATTTAGAGGAATCAAGACACCTTGATATTGCTGGGTCAAAATATAGAAGGCAATTGATAAATAAAATTTATATTCTTATATGTTATTTATATGTATTTTTTATTTCTGCATCATAAAGTCAAAAGGTTTGCATCTGTTGAGTGAAGCTGCAAGAACTACAGGCATTCTTTTTGAATTCAGTGGCCTTCTATCCAAATTTCACTCCTTACAACATCCTGTGATTAACTCTGAGGATATTCTGAGTGAGAATCAAATCTTACATGATGCCAACTGAGGTACAAATGCAAGAAATTCATCTTCACTAGTAAAAAGTAACCAAGAACATATCAATACATAATTTTAAAGAATTGACTCTGTCCCAAGACCTCACAGTCTATAAAAACTGTCTAGTGATGTAAGTCATACACACCTGGCAGTTCCCTAAAAAATGAGGGTCATCTTACAACCAACATTAAATTTATACTGATATAGCTCAGACTTAAGTGTTAGCTACTATAAAAATACATTTTAAAGCACTATAAATTTTCTTGAACTTTTATTGTTTACACAGTGTTGGCCAGGCTGAGACCCTAGAAAAAGAATATCAATTTTTTAAAATCAAAATGAGGTCTGTTCTTTCAGACTATACATACCTGTCGATAGAATTTCTCATACACAGGATTTGCACTCGATAGCTGTAAAAAAGACACAAGAGAGAAAATGAGCCCTGGAGATCCATATTTCAATTTCCCTCTCCCTGGAAAAATAAAGATATAAAACACACTCCACTGGTCTTCAAAGAAGCAGTAAGGATTTATTCTTATAATAAATAATGACAATGATGAGGAACTAGGACAGCTCTTCTTGCTGTAACTTTTAGAAGACTGACTTCTTGTTTCGAAGTCATTGACACCACCCCAGATCAGATTTCCCTCAGACAGGTCACCAGGTGAGGCTGTGTGAAACAGGAACTCTTAGGCAACATTTCCTTGGGGCAAAAGCAGAAACCTGAAACGACTCAGGCTAGAAAGTGCTCTCTAATATTAGAGTACAAAGGAACACAATTTTATTTCACTGTCCACTGCATCATTCTTTAGAATTTAGTGTCCTATGCAACCAGTCTGTAAAATTTTCAGTTACCCAAATTAATCTCTGGATTCAAAATTAAACCCACAGCAACAGTACTACATTAAAATAGAACAATATTCTAAGTTTGGGTTTTGTAACTTGAACCCTTGTTGGGGATAACTTCTGCCTTCATTCCACTGCCCTCTACCAGAGATTCAGGGCTCACCTAAAGTTAAGTGGACAAGGATAAAACAGCTTCTTTGGAAAAAAAAATCTAAGACCTGAAACAATGCAAAGCCTAATCTCTTGGCCTACACTAAATACCTTTTCCCAACAGACTGCCAAGAAATGAAGTGTTAGGGTTACCACTCTTCCTCAGTATAAAAACAGGCACAAAATCAGATCCTGCTTTCATGAAGTGCAAGCTTCCTAAACCAAAGGCATTTATGCAGAGGATAACCCTAGAATTCAGGGTGGGAAAACACTGTGGGAACAACTAATACAAGCTAATTACACAATACTTACTAAAAAAGCCCAGAGCACATAACTTCAAATATCATCCAAAACCAGAGTTCTCCCCCTTAATAGGAATATGATGTCAAACTCCGGGATTTGCAGACATTTGTAGAAACAGAATCCAACTAAGTTACTTCTCTGGATTAAAAATTTCAAACGTTCAAATGGAAATACGGAAACCAACAGCATCGTGGATGTTGTGAATCACAACTTTGTAAAAACCGTTACTACAGATTGTATAAATGGTTGATAGCTAAATAACACCACATCCATATTCCTACAGCAACTGCTGCTCTTTTGGCTGAGTACTCCATGTTCACAGGTGCTGATTATCAGAAAATTATACTATGATAGTAGTAAATGGATACTATAATAATAGATGATGTTTGGTAGAAATTAATTTAGTGTGATATTGTGCAATTACAATAAGTGTGCAGCATCACCAGAATGTCCTAAAAGACAAATTATAGAGTACAGCTAGAAATAACAGGAGAGCTTACATTCAGAGCTTGTTCAGCAAGTACACTGCCCCAGAGACTCAGCTTCTGATTTTCTAGCTGGTTTTTTGGTTTGTGTTTGGTGGTTTTTTGGTGGGTTTTGTTGTTGCTGTTCATTTTTTATTTTTTTGTGTTTGAGGAAAGGGGCAACAATAGGGACACACAGCTGGTAAGGTTTTATTTGATTACTAGGAGATGGATTTTATTTGATTACTAGGAGGTGGGAAATACCTCTGCCACAGCCAGACATGAAAAATTACATATGCTGGGAAACCATCATTGGTATTCACTGCAATACCTCCACAATTCCTCCATTTTTATAGATAACCTTGCTCTGACTTTGCTCTGGTACCCAAAGACTTTTATTACTTCACCCATCAACTAAGCATGGAGTTACACATCCCTTAAAATAGCCTGACAAAACATAATCAATTTTGGCAGCCCTCAAACTGCCACAACACCAATACAACAAACAACCCTCAAACATTTTCTAGCACTCCACAGCACGCAGTATTTTGTTACCTAAACCTCACAAGCTTTATTTACCCTCTCAGATACACTTTGCACAGCAACCTACAGGGGTAGTTCTCCCAAACACTCAAATATTTGACTTACTAAGTGTTACTTCATGAGAATGTAAAAGTCTAGCCACAGGACAAAATTAAAGCAGTGAGCAGAGAAGCAGAACAGAGCTGGCCAGTGCATCTGCTGGAACCATCGATTCCTCTGCATCATCCCTCTTGCCCAATGTCACTCTTTGTTCAGCCAAATGTCTCCTTATTACAGCCAAACTGATCACTGTCACTCCTGGACAGGAAACATCATATTGAAGTCCTGCAATGGAAACACTAAGTGCAAATAATCTTTTCATTCAGTACTTAAGAGTATGAGCCAATAACTCTTTACTTCATTAGTGCTTCCAATATTCATTTTAACATCAGTATGACTGCAGTAACTGGAATTTCCTGTGAATAGAGTAACAGTAGTAAAAAAGTTTCCCAGACTATTTTACTAGTAATAGACTTGTTTTTCCTTCGAAGTTTACCCACAACAAACCAACAAATGCAAAGATAATCTAGGATATTCTTCTGGGATAAGAAAAAAAATACAGCTCAACACCTTTCCAAGTGCTGCCTTAGAATTTACCTGGCAAAATTCTTTTTATGGGATTTGTAACAACCATTTGCAGAGTAAATTCAGCTTGTTTTAAATACAAAATATGGGAGAAAGAAAAGGTCAGATTCCACAGTGTATAAAAATAGAAAGACATAATTATGGCTCCATTTCAAAGTTGATCACTTCAAGGGTAATGTGTGTTGTAGTAATTACAACCTTTGACACAAACCTATGAACTTTAGAATGATAACCTAGGAAATAAAAAACACCGTCAGGGACGCACGTCTTTTTCATCTTCTGTTGTCAGTCAATTCCCATGTTTTCATGCCTCTGGCACATTTGCATTTAGGTGTAATAAGATACTATTACCCGTCTGTCCACCACATCCAGCCAAAACTTTCCTTCCAAAAATGCTTAAAAATAAACAAAAAAATGCAGTCCATTGAGAAAACCAAAAGTAAATTTCCCTTCCAACCCCAATGAGACATCAGGGGAGAAACAAGCTATTCTATCCTAATTAAAATCCAAAATACCATATTGTATCACAACACAAAGCTCTATAACTCATTTTAAGAGTTTCCAAAAGACACAATCTGGCCTTAAATGTTCTTACTGTTGTTAGCCAGCCAAAAAGCAGGTAAGCTCAAGGCAAGCTGGTTTCCTTACAATGCCATTTCAAAACAATAATCAACTTCTTTTTCCTCTATTGCTTTATTGTCTTAGCTGAAGTGTTTCAGGGGAAAGCTTTCTATCACTTTCAATTATATAACCAGGAATATCTCCTACAGCAATATCAAATGTAAAGAAAATATTTACTATAAATTTCTATATAATTATTACCAAGTATGTAAAAACTGAGCACTTTCTTTCCCCTTGAACAGCTGAAGCAGGCATAAGACCTGCTGTCTTCTCTCTGCAGAGATGTCTGTCACTGCATAATTAGAAATGGTTCCATTTAATTTTCAAATTGCTACAGAAAATCTCCATCTTCTAATCAGTACTGAACAAAGCCTGTGCAAAATGAAAGAGTAGCTGCACTGCCTTTTTAGAGGCAGCTTCTCCCTAACATGGTGGATGCAATACCAACCAAAAAAACTAGCTTCTATCTGCTTTAGGAGCAGTCAGCCCCCTCTATGTGCAGGGTAAAATATGCACATTGATGCTCTGGTTTCTTCATCTGCACAACAGAAAGAGGAACAACAGGTTCCTTATTCCACTAACAATTACAAACTCTGATGTTTATTTAACAATTTTGCTGATTTCTTAAAAAAACAAATACCAGAAGTTTATCAAAGACCTCAAGATCTCTGGCTTTATATTATACATAATATGTGCATTACTGTGAGGGTATCATTCATACTGCAAGTATTGGGATCCTGTGTATTCCAGTAACAAGACCTTAATCCTGGCAATGTGTGCAAGAGACAGGAATCCATCCAGCTCAGCCTTGGTGTAATACTCCATGTTTCCCTTCAACAACACAGCACAGCATTCTCAACTCTGTAACACAATACTCAAGTCTAAAATGAGACTTGCAGCTAATTAGGATACAAATTGATATTACATGATTTTGTCTCATTTACCAAAGCAGCTCGTAACTACTTCAAGACAATTACCACATTTCTCACAAAAAGCTTTTTATCAGGAAGACAAACACAAAGTTATCTTCCTTTTCCTCCTGAGTACTTTACAGTGCTTCCCTGAGCTGTGAGCTTCCCCTTCAGTCACAGCCAGTTTTTCAGAATAAACCACAAGTTCAATTTTCAAGAGCAACTAGAAGGTTCTGAATGTTCATATTAACCTTCAAAGAAACACCTGTGCCCTATTCTCAACATCCATTTTCCACATCTTCAGTTCTCTGTTCTTCCTCTCTTAAATTTCCCATATGAAATTGGTCTGATAAGCAACCATCCTTGGAAGGCCAAAAATTACAACCCCTTATACTGGTTATAGCATAATTTGACTTTTTCAACAACAAATGACAATCTGGGAGATCGGTCAGTTTCTTCTCAGTGCTGTTCTTCGCTTGTTTCCAAACTAAAGGAAACCACAACAAAACACTCCCGTGGTAGAAGTTCCCTCAGAAGTGCCACATTAAATTCACAGTCATGCTCAGACCATAACACCCACTGAGCAAAAGCAAGTGGCAACAAGATGTTGCAGAATGGGTTCAAAATAGGAAGATAAAACATACTTCAGATACTTACTATTAAAGGGAGAGGAGGTGGAGATAATCACCTTAGTTTGCAACCCTTGTTCAAGCATTCTTGTGTGATAAATTTCACTACAGCTACAAAGTCCTCAAGCATTTTTACGAATTAGTGAAAAGAATACAATTAGCACAGAAAAGTTTCAAATCACTGAAATTACAGCTCTGATATTCAAATAAAGGATGTGCAGCCCTCTCAGACATCGCAGCTGCAAAGTCATCTGAAAATACCCTCATCTCAGCTGGAAATACCCAACGTCCCAGCCATGCTAAAGGAGTGTCAAGCCAA